TCGAGGGCTTTGAAGCCACAAGGGATGCTGGTGCCGCACAGAATGAAGACAGCCTGGAGTTGGGAGGCCAAAACTCCACTCCCAGGCCTCTGGGCCATTAGCTTCATGGTTTGGGGCAACACAGTCACTCCTTGGGCGTCGGTGTCCTCATCTATGAAACAAGAGGGGAGACTGAGCCATCTCCTTCTCTGGGGCTGAGATTCCGATGCCTCCGTTATCTGGAACAAACCGAACGTTTCCTTTGATAGTTCCTTGGATGTTTATATTTTTATAAAAAGCGTCCCTTAAGTTCCTTTTCCCATTCTTTGTTAACATTGAAAAAGGAACCCACCAATAAGTGTTAGCAATTTTTCTGAGCATGTTCAGTTTTTTCAATCAAATATGCCATTTGGTTTTATTCATTCATTTCTTTTTTCAGAGCGGAAAAAGCACTATAAAAATACATCACATGTTATAAAGTGGTAAAAGAGAGAAGCCTTAAAATCCAAAGTTAAACATGACTATTTTTCAATGTTAAAATATTTGTGTATCTAGGATCTGTCCCAGGTTTCACAACCTGGTAGGATATGTACTTTAGGGTGTAATGAAGCTTAGAGAGGTTAACTGACTTCCTCAAATTCACAAAGCAAGTTGGCGGCAACATCCAACTCACTGGGACTCCCAACAGTCTTTCCTGTCTTCCTTTTTTTAAAAAATGTTTTTATTCATTTTTTTTCTTAGAAAGAGAGAGAGAGAAACATCAATTTGTTGTCACACTTATTTATGCATTCATTGGATGATTTTTGTATGTGCCTTGACCAGGGATCGAACCTGAAACCTTGGAGTATCGGGAAGACAATCTAACCAACTGAGTTACCCAGCCAGGGTCCAATAGTCTTTCCAAGATAGAGCCTTACCTTCCCAAACACCCTGTCTTTCTAGGTTCCCTGCTACTATTATGTGGCTTGGAAATACACTTTGTCCATAGAAAGTTAAGACTTACCGCAATGAGACTGTACTTGTCCCACTAGGCTCACCGTCCTCAGAGGAAAAGTTGACCCCACCCACAGGCGCTCCATCCCCACCGACCCCGCGGAGACATGCTCACGTCTCAGGCACTGAGAAAGTCCGGAATCGCATCACCAATCTCTGCACGTCAGGAAGGGTGCAGCTTGGAGAAGACTATGGGAAGATGGCAGTTTCCTGGCATTTCCTGGATGAGTCCACTTATATCTGGACATTTGCTTCCAAAGAGGAAGGCAAAGGATCGAAACATGTACAAACAGGAAGAAACTCGAGGCAGCATGGACGCAGCCTGTTCTTCCCCGCAGGTCAAAATCCAGACATCACTCCCCTACCGCTCCTTCCTATGGCTCGGGGGCCAGGGGTGGGGGGTGAGAGAACATTTCCAGATTTGGTAGTCAGGGTCCGTGACCGCCTTTTCTCACACATGCCCTAATGAAAGACACAGGAAGCACTCTGTCACCCTCTCAAAATGACACGCTTGTGAAGACCCATCCTCTCAATGAGAATGAGCTTTGCCCGTGTATTCCTATCAATGTTTCTGTCCTTGTAATCATAAATTGTCCTTTCTAGGACAGCAGGACAGACAGCGACCTGCTCGCTAGACCACGACAGTTTACTGACATTGAATGTTCTCTAAGACAACCTACAGACAGGACAAATGCAAAGCATTTGAAGGAAACAGATCTATAGGGAAAAAACAGTAGCTCACTTTTGCTCTTCTGGGGTGCTAGGCTAATTGTGAAAATGCAAAGGAAAAGGCCTAAAACTCGGCTACCTCTGCTTAAGACAGGAATAAAATGTTCATCCCTCCGCTGGGATTTTAAGAGCCCTCTCCAACTTCAGCACCACGGACTCAGCACTGCACAGAACCGCGTCTGTCTCCAGCTTTTACTGCTGCAGCGAAGGAAGGCTCGGTAGGACAGATTCACCCACCGCTTTGCTCTCTACCTCTTGCCCAGGCTGCCGGGCCTGCACAACTAGCACCTGATTATAGGCTGGCCTCTGGTCTAATGATCCCGAGTCTCAATTGAGCACTTTATTTTATTGTCTTGTTCATGCACTAGTTTAAGTGCCAGGGCTATCCGGGGGTAATAAATCTTAAATTGCTTTTAGGCAGGCGTGTGTTGATTCGGTTTATCTCTTCAGGCCCATGGGAACACTAGGGACTCATGGCATGCACATAAACACTTCCTGACTGTCTGAAGAGCTCCTGTGTGTCGATTTGGGGTGTGAGGAGCCTGGGTCTCCAGACCTATCACCCTCCGTCCCAGGTCATCGGCCCCCTCTGCTGTTGAGGGCACCTCCTCCATGCCTCTGAGTTAAGCTCTCCGTGGCCTGTATGTAACCTTTCCCCTTATCTAAAAGGTTACTTCGCCACAGGAATCGCCCATTCGCACCGCGTTCTACATTCCTCTAAAAACAGGATTCAAGGAGAGGAAGTCTACGTTTGAACGGACTCCTGGCTTTTGGAATTAAAGTTCACTAGGGCTTACAGGGCAGTTACCAACTCTGTCACCAGCACAGGCCTCCCTCACCAAATACTCTGGGGAATGAAATGGGGTCTGCGGGGTCGTGCAACCATGGCACCCACGGGGCTCCCCGATCTCAGACCCTGGCTCTGCCACTCACTGCCTTGGTCAAGGCAGCGCACCGCTCTGCAGCTCAGTTTCCCAATCTGTAATACAGAGAGAATGGTATCTGTCTCCCAGCGCTACGCTGAGACCAGACTCAGATCACCTTCAGGAAGCACTTTAGAACAGCGCTCAGCACTTAATGAGCACTAGGTTAAGTGAGCGTGAAGTAGAATTAACAGAGGACAGAGATTTAGAACAGACAGACCTACAAAACAGTACACTCGCCAAAGAATCCAACAATGATGGAAAAGTAAGCTGGTTTAAGAGAATAATGTGCCATCCTTGGCTTCCTGATTTTCTGGCTCACATACATTCTTTATATTGATTCCATAAACCAAAAAAGAACTCTGAATGCATGGGTTTTAAAACTGTAATGCATGATCCCAACAAACCGGGTGACAATGTCCTGGCTCCATGGCAGTAGAACAAGTAGTGCAGGTGTCACTCATTTCATAGAGAATTTAAAATGAAAATCCCATATTTTCCACCTCTGACACCTACTTAGCCTAACATGTCAGACATCATTCATATTGTTATTTAGCAAATACTGCCAACCCTTTTCCACCAAGGAACCTTTAGTCTCTTGTTGGGCAAACAGTTCAAAGAGATGTTCTCTATTTTTATAGACATATAGAAAGATTTTTATACAGAGATGATTGCATGGTACTCAAACTCAGACTTTTCTTTGTGTATTTTTGGACCTGTTCATCCACTTCCGCTTTTTAAATTGTCAATCCTCTTACATAGTAACCTAGCCACTAAAATTCCACATCCAGCATCTCTCCTTTCGGAGTAATCTCTAGCACAAAATACCATTTTTAAGATTATGAGTCCCTGGTTAGCTCACAACAGAGTTCCTCACACGGAATCCAGGCATCCAGCCACGCAAAGGAGCCTGCCTGCCACAACAGGTGGAAGGAAGTCCTTCCGGCTTCACCTTTCCCAATTTCCCTGGAGGGCAAAGTCTAACCCAGCAAGCTGCCTTCCCTGTAGGTGCACCTACAGAGGACTATGTAGAAACAGAAGAAACAACTCATATCTAGACTAGTACGAAGTGATCAACTATTGTGGAGACTCAGAAGTTTAGTCCTTAAGAATGTGGGAGGGTATTTCCTTTCTGTACCTTCCTGCGGCCCACCTCCCTGTCCCATGGTGCTCCTCAGTGTCACCATCAGGCTCTGTGGCTACGCTGGCTGTGGATGGGAGCCTGCCCTTCTGCGGGGCGGGGGAGCTTCTCTGAGCAGAAGCTGTGTCTTACTTGTCCTGTTGTTTCAAAGCTGGCCCAAAGCCCATCCACAGTCAGCTCCCAATAGTAATCTGTGCAACTATACTGAAGTCACTACATGTGAAACACCAAACATTCTTTGGATGATCAAGCCATCTTGTTTTAAGAACAAGAAGGTTCCTCAAAAAAAAAAAAAAAACAAAAACAAAAAACCAAAACAAACCAAAAAAAAGAAAAAAAGAAAGGAGACATTTGGAAAAGTCACCAGAGCCCCTCTTTGCTTCAGTCACTTATGGTTAACTTTTCTGCTTTTATTCACAAGGTCTCTTTAAAATCTGTACCATATCCTGTCTGCCCCGCCTTAATGGGCTCCTTCAGTGACCCCCGTATTCACCTTGTAGGTCTCCTTTCCGGATATCCGAGACCCATAGTCCTATACGGCCACCGCCTGAGCTGTTTTTTCCCCTCTAAAGCAGCTGTGCACAGCAACCAGAGATCCCTCCATCACGCCGGGGCTTCCAGCCACCGCTGGGAAGCGCTGGGGACGCCTGGGCACTGCGCCTCTCGCCAGCGTCGGTTACCACGACTCTCCCCTCTAGCTACTCTCTTTGCGATCCTGCTCTGGCGACCACCCGGGGCAAGGGGATCCGACAAGGTCCTGGGTCAGCGTTTGGTTAGCCCCAGAGGGAGAGAGCGGGGGAGGGGAGGGGAGAATCTCTGGGGTGGAGTGAGGACGCCTCGGGACTCACTCCCGGCCCGGACCCTTCCCACTGAGGGCTTCAGCGCCTCTTCTTTTCACCCATCCTAGGGACCACGTAAATGCAGGGCCGGGGCGGGGATGGTTGTAGGGGAGAGCGAGGAGACAGCCCCCCGGGCCGATCACGAAGTCCGCCTCCCCTCACTCGCGGTCTCTCGGCCACACACACACGCACACACACACACACACACACACACACGACCGGCTACTTGAGGCGCGCGCACACACGCACGCACACGACCTGCCACTTCTACTCCAGCTCCGAGCAAACTGTGCCGCGCGCCTCTCCCTCTGCGAGTCCACCGGCTCCGTCCCCGGCTCGCGCCTCTCGCCTCACCCCGGCTTTTCCACCCAGCCCCGATTCCGTCCCCCAACTGACCGTGAAGTCGGAGGCAGTTCCCAGTCCCAGGCCCCTAGGGAGGCTCCCGCCGCAGCTGCCGTCGCCTCCCCCTGCCGTCCCCGCCCCGGGGCCCGGCCTCGGGCTGCAGCGATGGCTCCCGGGCACGAGGCGCCGCGGCTCCCTGGTATCGGCCAGACACCCGGCGGCGCCCAGGAGAAGCCCATGGATCTCCCGGCAGTGGCGGTGGCGCCTACCGGAGCGGCCGTCGCGCAGGCTGATGACACTTGGGCGCGAGGGGGGGCGCGGTCGGCTTGGGGGCGACGCGGGCTGATGACGCAGAGCGCGCCTTGGCAGTATGGCGTCCGTGTCTCTGAGCGAGGCGGAGAAGGTGTACATCGTGCACGGCGTGCAGGTAGTTCCAGCACCGGCGCTGGCCGCCGGTCCCCACGGCCCTGCGGCGCGCGGCCGGCACTCGGTTCGCCCGGGAGGAGCGGCGGGTCTGGGTTTACCCTGTGATTCAACAGCTCTGCGACCAGCGTTTGCAGCCTTAAGCCGGCAACGCGGGCGTGTGTAGAACCGGGCAGCGAGCATCCGTTTAGGACTGAATGCGTCCTTGATTGAGGCTTCCGGGTCTACGAGGTTCCCAACCCGCGTAGGAAGCTATGGGCCGCGTCCCTGAGGCTTTAGCGAGGGAGCCCCCGCTCCAGGGCCATCTCTGCAGCCTTGGCGCGTCGCTTTACTGTGGGTGTGCGCTTCTGGTCCGCTTTTCCTCTCCTAGTGGTTGGGAATCATGGGGAGAGAGAAGGCACCGCGGTGAAAGCGCCTTGAAGATATAAATGGCCTTACAAATAAATGGGGAGCGGGGGAGGGAGGTGTTTAAAAAGCGGCTACACAGCCGGTAGCACAGTGTTTACCGTTACCCATTTGCCATTGGACAACTAAGATCCCTAGGGGCAGCTCTAGCTTTTTTAAGATTTTCAGTGCTCACTCTTCAGTCCCAGGTTGTGACAACGCCGGAACCCGAGGTGAAGAAGGCTGGGTCTGGTAGTGAGCTACCGAGGGGAGCCAAGTGCGTCCTTCTGGTGTGTAACCTCCCGGGTTAGAGACGCCTCCCAAACCTCCCCTCAAAGCCTAGGCAGAATCCTGTATGGACCTAATCCTTTTGTGTTTTACTTTTCCCTTTTGGTTCAGTATGGTTAATTTCAGCTCTTCTGGCGTTCCTTTAATGTCAGCCTTTGACTCCTTTCTTATTTCAAAGATGAATATAAAATAACAGCAATGGAATACAAGGTATATGAAGGAGGACCCCAAAAACCCGGAATTTATTCATTAAAAATTGTGTATTTATTCTTACATCTTCATTCACCTTCAGAGTCCTCTCCATTTGGTGCAGTGCACCTCTCCAGACGTTTTCCCACTGCTCAGAACAGTTTTTGGACTCATCAATATTGATGCCTTTTAGTGCTCCTGCCATTTTGTTCACCTTTTCCACATTAGCAAAGAGTTTCCCTTTGAGGACTTTTTTCATCTTGGGAAACAAAAAAAAAGTTGCTCTGACCAAGATCAGGTGAATAGGGAGGGTGAGGCATGGGGGTCACGCGGTTTTTCATCAAAAACTGCTGAACATTCCGTGTGGTGTGGGCTCATAAATCACCCGTCATGAAATGGGCAAATGTAATGAAAGAGTCTTCAAGAAAAATTCACTGAAGCCAAACACAGCCTCTCGCAACAATGCCAGCTGGTATGTTGATACAGATGGGTTTCTAGAACATTCATCTAGCAGGGGAAGCCTGTACTACAAGGACTCACTCTCCAGAATATAATTCTGTTTTTTTTTGGGGGGGTCTCCCCTCATATATCAAGGGGTGCTATAGTTAGTGGAAGCCAAAGAGACTAAGGAATACTGGGGGCTGTAACGCTCTGAAGCCTTCCCCAAGGAGGTGGGATTGTTCTAAATCCGTGTGTCTCTTGTATATATCGACTGGGCTCAGTATTTCATTCATTCTCCCTGGAACTGAGCTAGTCTAGGGGGATAGGAAGTAGCCCGCCTTCTATAGCGCCCATGCTGGAAGGAAAAAGCAGAAATTACAGATCTATTTGTGTGTTTATATATATGATTATACAGAGTCCTGTGAAGCGGGGGGAAAGGCTTGTCTAGTCTGAGAAGTAAGGGGAGGCTTCCCTAAGAAAATAGCGTTTGAACTGAGCCCTCAGCATGACCAACAATTGAATAAGCTTGAGCCTTTCAGAAGGAAAGGATGGTAAGTCCACTCCCTGGGGGAAATGGTAGAAGACCAGGCTGCAGAGGGGACTCTAAGGGTCTTAGAGGCTCGGCCCTGTCTCCTCATGGATTTGGAAGGTAATGATCAACTTGTCTGTACGATACCCTTAAGGCCTGGCCACTGTCCAGCACTTGGGAGGTACTCAGTCACACTGATGGAGCAAAGTAGGCCTTAAAGGGGAAGCAAGTCGGACAGTGATTTCAGCTTTTAAATTCAACCTCTCTCACCAGTAGCATGGACGTATTAGGGCCACAATTGCTCAGCCCTGTGCAATTGACCAAATAAACCTGCTCATAGCTTTATTAATATTGGCCACACATTTGCTGTGTTTACAGAGGAGCAAAACAGAACTTACTCTATTTGAACAAAGGTCAGGATGCAGGTGAGCGAGCCCACTGCAGGATCTCCAGGGACTCTGTTCCAGAGTCACCTAAACTTGTGTCGAGTTGGCTCCCAGGTGCCAGCAGCGCGCCCTGAGCAATGCCCAGCGGGAATCCTGTTCTCATCATTTGGTGTTTTACTTTTCATCCTTGGTCCTATTTGGTCAGTTTCGGCTTCTATCATCCCTTGCCCTATTAGCCTTGATTTCTGGGACGTTTCATCTTGGTTTGGTGGGAGTTAGAAGCAGTCGAAAGTAACCTCAGAGTGTGTGTTGAGGATTCAGTTGCTAGTTATGTTAACCAACAGGCTGACTCTAGCGCAAAAAAAAAAAAAAAAAAAGTGTATGAGAAGGCTCTAAGTGTGTCTTCAGGAATTCAAGGGCAGTTAGACCTTCAGGCTCTCCCTTGCTTGTCTCTGCTGCTTTTTATACCTTTGCTGTATTCTCTTCTCTCTCTTGGCTTTGTTTCTCAGGCCTCGCGGTAGAAAGGCTGGGGTTACAGCTCCCTTGGATGAGAAACCAGCCCTTCTAGTTCACTTCTAGACTCATTGCTGGGCAGAATCATTAGGCGCAGACATGGCCACTGGGGAACGAGGTGCACCTGAGAGAGAGAGCAATTTATGGACAGGAGCCTGAATCGTTTTGGGTTCTGGCAGAAAATGGGAGCTAGTTGAGGTAATTCGGGAGACTTTTATGATGGGACTCTTTTTAATAGTATGGGCGGGTTTCAGGAGGCCACCAAGAGATGGCGAAGAGCGAGACTAGCAACCACAGGGCGTAGCCACCACATCTAGGGCGACAGGGCCCAGGGAGCCGATGGCGTTGCCAGATGCCAGCAATTGCTGGCACCACGGAGGGAGAGCAGCCTACAGGAGTCGTGGTCTTGGGTAGATGTAGGCAGGTAGGCACTGTCAGAAACGTGGCCCCAGGTCAGGGGTGTGTGCGTGGTGGGGGCCACTTTGTTCTGGTACCTTCCATTGGCCAAACTCAAGCTGAAGCCAGCAAAGGGAGCCCAGGTGAAGCAGTCTGGAGGGAGTCGGCCTGGTGCACAGATTAGGGCAGGGGAGGGTGGAGGACAGACCTGGGGAGGCGGGGGAGGGCAAATGGAAAGGCTGGTGAATCAGTATTTTAGGGTGTGATTTAACCGGTTTCTTCTAAGTCCCCTCTCAGCCTTCGACGGCTGAGGTGTCCCACTTTTGTTAGGTCCATGTTCCGTCGTAGGTCCGTATTCCGCAGCAGTTCGTTACCCCACTAAGAAGCCTGGTCCCGTCCAGGCCGTCCTGTTGAGTTTTTCTCGGCACTTGAAGGGAAGTGTTGCTCAGCTGTTCGTTTCCGTTTCTCTTCTGTGGACCCAGCTTCGCCTGTAAGCACTGTTGCAGGAGCAGCGCAGAAGCAGGAGAATGGGGCCGAGCCCTGTCTTCAGCCGTGAGACTGAGCCATCAGGACTCAGCTGCTCAGCCCGGCTGTGCAGGACACTTGATTTTGAGCCCTGTGCCATTTCCGTTTAGGGACCCATGGCACAAAAAGGGCTCACCCGGGCACTTTGCAAGGTGAACGGAATCACACAGCCTTTCAAAGGCAGGAGGGGCCGCTCAGCAGGCTCGGAGAGTGAAAAGGGGGCAACAGCAGGGTGTGCCCACTGTGTCAGCCTGGGCCTGCAGGCGGGACCGTCGAGCCCCCTTTCCCTAGCGGGTTGTGTTCCCGTAGGGCAGACGTCCTGGTCTCATTTCGCTACCAAGCCCCGAGGCACTGGACACGGCAAAGCAGTGCAGTGCGATGCGGGGGTGCCGTCACCCCAGAGACTCGCTTGAGTCTGAAACCCTCCCAGGTGCGTTGCGTTAGTAGAGCTGACTCGTCAGCTTGTGCCAGGACGTGACAGGACTGGGTTGCCTGCGAAAAGCAGCTCTGGGCTGAGTCCTGTGTCCTTCCACAGTCACAAACAGGAGATCCCGGTGCCTCAACACAGTGTCCTCATCGGTGACCTCTCTCCGGGGGTGTTTTGGAGGGTGCCGTGAACGAATCCCTGCCCCTGGAGCAGGCGAAGGGAGCTGCTGACGGGGCTCCCAACGGGCTACAGCGGCCGACAGGTCCCCTGAAGCGATGTAGGGCTTTCGGATTGTCCTGTAACTCTCTCAGGTCGAGGTTGTTCCTGCTTTTGAGATGAAGAGACGGGCTCAGAGCTGTTGAGGAACTGGCTCCGGGTCACAGAGCTGGCGTGTGACAGCCAAGAATTAAATATAGATTGGAGGTGACCCCACACATGGCACCCAGCTGGCAGGGGTGCTGTGATCACAGGGGTAACAACCTAAAAGTCACCGGGAGCCATCCCAGTGGCAGAAGCCCTTAGTCCGGAAAGGTGCCTTTGTCCCCTGCCGAGGGCAGGGCTCTGCTCACTGGTGCCATCCATCAGCAGTTGGCATCTGTGTTGATTTTTAAACAAAGCTCGCAGGTCTGGGCAGTCCCTGTTTATAAGCGTTCACACGTGGACAGACCCCTTGCTCCCGAGTCCTGCAGGCTAAAGAAAACCGGTGGGCGTCAGGCTGTGCGCCAGGCCAGGCAGGTTTGGGCGATGTCCTGACCTTTATGCATCCAGTCATTCATGGACTAGTGTATTTTGTTTTTGGTTTGTTTTGCTCCTATTCTTCTGAGTGCTTTTTTTTCCTATTAAAAAAAAAAGTTGTAGTTGATGTATCTTTTAAGAGGAAAATTTGTAGCTTTTTGTTGATCTCTCCTTGTTGCTTGAGCCTTTCCCAGGGGGCAGAGAGTGATTGGAAGGCTGCTAAGGCAAGATCTGGGGAGGCCCAGTTGTTTGTCTCCTCTCCCACCCCTTCCTGGAACAAGTAAGTGAGCTGTCACCACGCATGGGTGTGACGTGATCTTTCCAGAGCCAGTGGTGTTTTAAAGTAGCAATTGGAAGCCCTGTGCCCTGTGGTCTCCTTGCTTTCAGGGCCGTTGGGCGATTGTCAGGCCCAGCTGGCGCAGCGGCCCATTCATCCTCTGAGGGAGGCCTGAGCCGCCTGCTCCTGCTCAGTGAGGAGACCCTTCGGATGCAGGGGGTCCCAGGGGATTGTGGTGAAGAACTCTGGCTGGGCATTCACGTGCCACTTACTGGCCGTGTGACCCTGGGCCAGCCACTTAGCATCTGTCAACCCATTTCCCTTCTCCTTTTTTTTTCTTAAAAAGATTTTATTTATTTATTTTTAGAGAGAGGGGAAGGGAGGAAGAAAGAGAGGGAGAGAAACATCACTGCGTGGTTGTCTCTCATGTGCCCCCTGTGGGGACCTGGCCTGCAACCCAGGCCTGTGCCCTGGCTGGGAATTGAACTGGCAACCCTTTGGTGTGCAGGCTGGCGCTCAGTCGACTGAGCCACACCAGCCAGGGCTGAACCTATTTTGCTATTTGTATGACAGATTAAATAGTTACCCATATCGCAGTGCCTCTAGAACATTATCTAATATATAATAAGTGCACATTAAATCATAGTTACTATTAATTTTCACAAATAATTGTGCCTATTTTGATGTAAAGATCTGTAGAATTAGAGCAACACCTATGGGGCCATTTAATTCAATCTCCACCATTTACAAATGAGGAAACTCGTCAGTAGGGGAAGGGACTGGTCCCACCTGGGACAAGCAGTGAGTGGCGGGACCAGGCCTGGAGCCCATGCCCGGTGCTCCCAGCGACTGCTTGCCCCGACCCGTGCCTGCAGCCCGGGAAGGGCTCCTTGTACACAGTGTTTCTGGGCGCCTGGGGGATGGGCAAACGGGGGAGTCAGGGAGTAGCCTAGAAAGCCTTCCGGTTCTGGGGATGGGGTTGTGAAGAGACAGCTACAAAGTGTTGAGCTCTGCCAGGAGGCTCATTCTCCCTGATTTGAAATTCCTCTCTCCCAGACTGAAGGTAGGGGCCGCCTTCAGGGGAGGGACGCGGGAGTGGGGCGCTCGCAGAGGGGCTTCTGTGTCTCCCCCTCGCCGGGTTGAGAGGGCGAGAGCTGGCACACACACATGGCACGCGGGGGTGGTTGGCGCTGTGTCGTGGGGGCAGGCAGCGTCTTGCTTTTTTGTATTTTAATTTCTCAAAATTAAAAATTCAGTCCCACGCAATCGGCCCGGTGGTTTAAAGGTAAGTTTCTGACAGTTAACACACTGCAGGCCAGTGTTTCTAACGCTCGAGGGGCATTAACCCCCTTGAGAGTCTGATGATTCTAATGATTCTTTTTCTGAAAACAAAACAAAACAAAAAACTTTCAAAAGCTGTTTGCAAAGAACGAGGAAGATCTCTGAGCCGATGGGGAGTGACGTCCCATTCATATATATGCAAGGTGTTAAAAAGAAGCAAAGTGTAAGCGTGTCTGTAGTGGGCCACCCTTCTGCAGGAAGAGGGTGTTTACAGTATCCATGCGGCTGCTCATTTGTGCAAAGAAAATACAGAAAATGTGACCCAGGAACTAAAGGGATTGGTTCCCTGCCTGGTGTGGGTGGGAAAGGGGAGGGGGGCGGACTTTCCTGATAGCCTTGACCTCGGGGCTGTGAGAATAAATGCATAGTTAAAGCGAACCAGGGGGCGGGGGACCCAGCCTGGGGCACAGACTGGAACAAATGAACAACAGCCACAGCGGAGGACGGGGGACAGGGGAGACCACTGAAAAACAGTATTTTGAATAGGTACCAGGTGGCTAACGGCAAAAGGAACTCTGTACAAATACTAGACCCGAGTAGTAAATGTGTTTCTCCCAGGGCTCTGGGTTAGCCATCCTTAGGCTACTTTTTCTTTCTTTTTTTTTTTTTTTTTTTACTAAGATTTAACAAACACCTAAATATATTGTAGATAAGGGAAGCCGGGGCTCTCCCTGAGAGAGAGGTTATAAATAAATAAGGAAGGTCAGAACCAACTACCAGTACGAACACGTAGCTCTTTAACTGATACGTGGGGAGATAGAGAAGTAACTGCGGATGTGTGCACGTGGGTTTGTGACCCTCCCCGTGTCCCATTCTGTCCGCCGAGAAGCCCTAGAAGCAGGGACACCCCCATAGCACTGAACCTGCTTATCGCCCAGAGCCGGGTTTGTCTCCAAAATAAAAGGACGCAGGGCTCCTTGGGGAACGGGCCGATCCCAGTGCCGGGACGGGGAAAACAAGAGGTTGGGAAGGCTTGTGCTGTAGGAAAAATAAAGAAGTCCTGAAAAAAGATCGGAGGCGAGTTGAAAGGACACAGGAACCCACCCAAAGGAGCTCCCGTGGCTAACGTCAACTCTGAAGCGACTCGATAAATAATGGTAGCATTGGATCATAGCCACAGCACAAAACAGACACCTCAGCGTTGCGCTGATATCAGGAAACAGTGGAAGAAGTTAAACAGGGATGAGGGACAAGGCTGTACAGAAACCCACCTTTGGCCTCGGGGGTTGGCAGATGCGGTAGATGCACTGAGAAAAGAAGACGCGCTGCCTGTTTCTTTAGGGGACTCAAAAGGAGTGAATGGGCTCGGGGGTCTGTTGCTGGTTTGGGGGCACGGCCTCAGGCTTGTGGTGGCTGTCTAGGAGGACCTCCGCGTGGATGGCCGGAGCTGCGAGGACTACCGGGGCATCGAAGTGGAAACCGACGTCGTGTCCAACACCAGTGGGTCCGCCAGGGTCAGGCTGGTGAGTGCGGGGCGCAGTCCGGCGCCCAGGCGGAGGGACCGACGGGCCGGAGGGGGCTGGCGGTGGCCCCGCCAGGCTTTGCAGCACCGATTTTTCGGGGGGAAATCCAAGACCCAGGCCGAATGCTGGGTGGGGGTCTGTCTAGGTCTGAAGACCCCTCGTCTTCTCAAAGGGCTGCTTTCCAAGTCCCAGCGCTGCCCTTCAGAGAGTCCCCAGGGTTTGCATCTGACAGAGGAAAGAGGTGGCCAGGGGCCTGGCTGTCCCCTGGAGTGAGGACCCATCTCTCGTTTGCCTGCAGGGTCACACGGACATCTTGGTGGGAGTGAAGGCCGAGATGGGGACACCGAAGCTGGAGAAACCCAATGAAGGCTACTTGGAGTTTTTCGTTGACTGGTCAGTACTGTACAGATGCTTTTTAAAGAAAAATGATGTAAAAGACGAAGGTTCCCAGAGTGACCCTCTGGTCTCCCGTTGAGCCCACTTTTATTTTGTGTTGAAGCCTCCTCCCGCCAGCCCGCAGGTGTTCACTGAGTCCCCGCTACATGCCAGACACCAAGGCCCATGGTGGGGGCGTTGGGCCGAGCGCTGCCCTCGTCCCCTCAGCCGGCCCTCGCTGGGCCCCGCTTCCCCGCCTGGAAAGGGAGGGTGTGTGCCAGGCGGCCCGGCACGTGGTGATTGCTAGAGTCCAGTGAGATGGTGGATGCTTTGAAAAATACTACACGCAGACGATAAGGATCATTTGGTCTAAAATGCCCTGTTTTCCTTTCTGCTCTGGCTTTGCAGAAAACTTCTCATGACTTGTTGGCAGAGCAAGGGCTGGGGCCGGCTGGCCAGGCGGCCTGACAGCCGAGGGGGTGGCAGCTGGGCAGGCCGTGGGGGCACTGGAAGAGCAGAGCCCGCACGGCGGGCGGTGTGGCCAGCCGGCCCGAAGCCGGCCGCCTCCTCAGCCAGCAGTGTGACCGCGGGCTAGTCGCTCAGTTTCTCTGTGCCTGCATTTCTTTATCTAAACATGGGGAGAATAATACTGTTGTGATGCTAAGGAGGTGAGAATGTGAAGGTAGAGCCCTGAGAATAACTATCTCCAGTGGGCTTTTGGGTAAATGTTCTTTCTCTCCCTCTTGTTACCTCCCTTTTCTGGGCAGTGGGGCTTTTGGGGGAGGTGCGGGGTTGCTGACCCAGCCTCATCTTCTGTCTGTAGCTTCATTTCCAGCCGGAGGGTGATAGCGGGCCTTCTTGCAGTAGGTAAGGATCTCTGTTGGCCGATGTTAGGTGCAGGTGTATATCATTGATACGGTACTGGGGGTCTCCGAGACCACCCCCACATTCAGAAATTTGCTGGAAGTACTCACAGGACTAGCATATAATTGTACCCGCAACTAAGATTTATAACAGCAACAAAAATGCAGCAACGCATGTCCATGGTGATTCTGAAAGAAAACCCACTAGAGACTTGGCACACAAGATATTTTGGGGCGCTGGTCACGTAGCACCCACTGCTTAACACACCACAGCACCGGGCTCCTGGAAGGAAAGCAGGTGTTCAGCATAAACCACGTATTCACAGCAGCGATCTGGGCACAGCAGTCACAGTTTGCTGTTGCCTGAGGACGCCCTGGGCTGAGGGCCATCCTCCTACAGAGAGCAGCCTGGGCCCCCCTTTTCTACTCAGGTGCTAATCTGCGTGTGTTCAGTAAGTTACAGTTGCCCAGCTGCCCCTTCCAAACAGAGGTTCATCGCGCAGGCTGTCAGTGAGAGACGTGAGGTCCGAGCGGGGAGTGACTCTCCTAGGGTCTCCCCGACTCCGGGCCTTTGCTCCTTCTGCTTCGTGCAGCCTGGGGAGGGACATTGTGCTTCGAGGCCCCAGAACATATCCACGTCCACCTTTTGGGCCGGCTTTCCCTCTGGCGCATCCCTGCTCCTGCGCTGGTCCCAGAGCAGTTCCCCCTCCTGGTTCTTCATAGTTGTGCGCTGTGCAGCGGAGTCGGCCCGTTCTCCTTCTCCACGCCCGAGAGCGACTTGTTCAGGCTCCCAGCTCACCCTGCTGCTGCTCTTGGAGGAAGAGGGCTGCCTCTCCTGTCCCAGACCTGCCCCCTTCGGTGCGGTAAACAGCCACAGAGGGACAGGCCCCGTGCGTGGGGAACTGCCATTCGCTTTCCCATTCTCCCTCTTCACTGTCTTCTACCTCTTCATCTTAGACCAGAGACGGCCACCCAGGCCCACGAAGACGTTTGGTACAGGAGGCCCATCTCACTGTGGCTCTGTGGCTGAATGGGACTTGAGGTTTGCCTGCTGCTCTTGTCCCTCCCTTGCCCCGCTTTAAAGGGACGGTGGCTCTAGGTTGAGAGGAGCCTCTGAGCTGCCTTTCCCAAGGGCTGGCTTCTGGGACCACGCCCCTGTCCTGGCTGAGAGTGGCTGCTGGTCTCTCCCCGCTTTTGTGAACTTCAGGAGCGCCCCTCCAGGCCTAGAAGCTCCAGGTCCCAGGGAGTCCTGAATCTCTTTCTCAAGGTTGATTGTCTGAAGGTGGCACGCAGGAGCGTCTTTAAGTGGCTCAGTCAGTGTGATCCGCCCAGCAAGTGGAATTACCGTGAGAGGTTCACAAAACCCCATGTTCCCACAGGGAAGGGAGAGGTTCTCAACTGCCACTGGCTGCGACCTTTCTCAGAACCTCATGGGAGTCTGCAAGGAGCACCTGTAAACTGCATAAGCAGAGAAGCCCTTCATTCTCCTCCAGGGACCAGGGGTGTCTTTGGGCACCTGTGGACGTGCCCGGCAATAAAGGGGCTGCCTTCCTTTCCCCGGGCCCTGGGAGGAGGGCCTCTGCTGGAGAGCTCAGGGCGGAGACAGCTCTTACCCAGCAGGAGGGAAGCATTTGGGTCGGGGAGTGGGGAGGCCCCCCTACCAGTCCGAGTCCAGCTTGGCTTAACCACTTTATTTATCAGCTGCTTCCAGGTTTTAATTATTTGAATTCCTGGAGGTAGTGAAATGAAATGCTTTTCTGCCAACTTATTCTACTTCAATGTATCTGCTTGGAACAGTGCATGGAGCCTGAGGTAAGCACTGTCCCCCGCAGCTGCACTGAGCCTGACCGCCTGCCTGGCACCCGCTCCCCCCGCCCCCCTGCCATTGGAGCAGCGAAGCTCAGGGTCCCTGAGCTCTGCTAGCACTTTCCCTCAGCTGGGAGCAGACTCAGACCTTCTGACCTCTGTCTTGTGTATTTGTTAGTTGTTGCTTGAAAATAGGCCATTTTAAATAAGAGCTTTGAAACGTTAGGCGACAATGGTTTCTGTGTGAAGCCCAGAAAAAGGTAAGGATGGAACGAGCTGCTGTATCACTCTGGGCTGCCCCTAGGTGACGGTCAGTCAGGTCGCCTCTCAGCTGTCTGACCTCACGTCGATGGCTTCAGGGGCTGTGGTGTAGCCTCTCCGAGAGGCTTCGGTTTGTAATTGGGGGAGTTGAGCACATGGCTCATTCATAGGCAGTTCGGGGTACTCAACACTTGTCACTTCCCTTTGGGACTGAACTACTTTTCAGTGTCATCACTCATGCTTTACATTAATACTGAACCATCAGCTTTGAGCCCTGAATTGGTGGGTGGAGCCATGTGATCTGTTCTGTACCTGCTTTACTGCCACCTGAAGGGGGCGCTGTTCTTGGCTGGAGGCCAGGGTGGGGCGAGCTGAGCAGAGCCTGCAGAGGCCACTCAAGGCTGGCCACACTCAGAAAGGCTCCAGAGCTGCTAGCTCTTCCGGCACCTGCAAACAAAAGCTTAAGTGACAATCTCAGAATGTTGCTAGTGTTCCTAACGCACTTATGGGGACACTTCGGGAGGCTCAGAAAGGAGCACGAGTCGGAGGCATTGGGACCTGTCTCGGGGCTGGGTGACAGCGGGAGGGGTCCTGTGTCAGCCCTGGCCCAGGTGCCCACTAGAGCGCTTTTTCTGCCATGGGCCTGGCCTGGCCTGGCTGCAGGCTCTGCCATGGGTGACGGGCTAGATTGATTGTAAGGGAAGCCACAATGGGCCTAGTGTCTAAAGTCCTGCTGCAGGTAGACGTGGCCTTGATCTCAGCCTCCCCCAGTTAAACCGGAGAGCACTGTGCCAGGCCGGAGGAGCGATTGGAGGCGGTGAGTCAGGAGGGGCGGAGAACTGGGATGGGCGCCGGTGGGGGGGGCGGGTAAGAGTGGATCCAGCTCAGTAAGCTATTTCCCAGAAGCCCTGGAAGAATGGATCTTCCCGAAGGATCTGAATTGGTTTGTGCACCTGTAAAAATACGAAGCACTTGGTTTTATGCTAAAAAAATCTAAGTGTACACCCTCCCCTACATCTGCTGTGCCGCCTGTGAGCAGGGCGCTGGGATTACCAGCCTGTGTTTCTCTCTGTTTAAACTTGGCGCCTAATAAAGAAGCTTTTTATTTAGGGTTCCCTTGGTCTGCATTCCTTGACTCCCACGTTTGTGGTCCCCCAATAACTCCCGAGACGAGAGCCCCTATCCATTACTGGGAGGCATAAGACAGGCCCAAGGAAAGCTGACCTGGCCAGTGTTAGGCTGCAAGCCAAACGTGCCGGATCGCATGCTGGGGAGAGTCCGGCAAAGCCTAGCAGACGAGGGCTAGGCCGCCTGGGTTAGCATCTCACTCCCCGGCCGCCAGTCGTGTGACCTTGGGCAAGTTACACAACCTTTCTGTGACTCAGTGCCATCGTCTAAAACAGGGTTGATGACAACACCTCCTCTAGGGTTTTTGGGAGAATTAAAAGAGTTAATACATCTAAGTGCCCAGAATGGTGTCCAGCACATGGTAAACATTCCCAAAAAGTTGTTGAGTTCTCCTTCCTTGTAAAGTGAGAGAGTTGGACCGTCTGAGGTCTCCCTGGGTTGTCCTGAGGACACAGCCTGCCTGCAAGACTTTTGTTTCACTGATGGAGGCTTTAATTAAAGATGAATTAAAATGCCTTCAGACCGGGCCTGGAAGCTTGCCCGTCTCCATCACTCCCTGTTAAATACACATGGCCCTTTGTTCAGATGCAGGTAGTTACCTGGCGGGCCCCTGCGAGCACTTGCTTTTAGTCCTCTGGGGAGGGCCTCTGTGGCCTACATTTTTGACACCTCTGTCAGAAAGGCCCCTTGTGCTATGTAAGCGTCCCCAGTGATGATGAGGGGCCCTCATTTCTCTGTTGCAGCCCTTCTCTTCATCCTTCGGCAGAATACGGGGCTCTGGCTTGTCTCGTGACACCCAAAGCCCTGAACCCCACCCCCTACCCTGAACAAGTTCCTTCTTTCCAGCCTCCTCCCTGGAGTCGCTCCTGAGCCAGGGCGCCATCCAGATGTAGGAGCTTCTGGTGGTCCCGTCCACCTCCAAACATCGTTCTCTGCCTATCCACTGGCCATACCAAAAGAACGATGTGTTTAAGAAAAGAAAAAGAAACTTCTAAAATGGGAAAAAATTCCACTTTAAATTAGCCCAGTGTCCAAAAAAAAAACCCCAAAACCCAAACCAATTGCACGTAGTTTTGTCAGTAGATCAATTCAGCCCGTTGGACCTGGGGGGCCCGGTAAGCCATCCCTCGGGGCCGGGAAGGCGTTAGTGCCGCGCTCCCCGAGTAGTGAGTCCACCCCCAGGAGGATGCGACCCACCGAATTGGGGCAGGAAACACTTTAAGTGCAAGCGTCTCGGGCTGGATTTGTCTACACAGGGACCTACAAAGGTATGTTTTAAACACTTAATACTGAGTGCTCAGTGTTTGAGTTAGGAACAGGTTGTGTTTTGCCGACAGTGCAAAATAAACTTGGTCCCTGGTGACTTGATGATTTCACCGTAAATGAACTTTTATTTCATGGCCCAGTGTCTGAGGCCCACGGAGGCCGAGAGAGACCCACAAGGGTGCTACGGCAGTAATGAAGCCTCTCTTGGGGACTTTAAGTCGGGGTTCTGCTGGCTCGTGGTGGTAAGGGGAGGCTATATGATTAGAGAAGCACAGTGGTTACACAACGATGCCCTCAGGTTGTTTAGGATTCGTTTTTATACCTGCATTAGGATGGACTGGGCGATAGGGATGTCTCGCTCTGTTGGCTGAGGTGTCCTTCAGCATCCCACAGGCAGGGCGGGCCCAGGGCCCAGCGCGAGCTTTCACACAGGGTTTGCTTTGCCTGGAGCCCCTGCCCCCTCCCCCTGCCCTGCCTGTGACCAGACCAGCTTCTACACATCTTCAAATTAAAAGTCTCCTGTAACCCTCAGCACTGACTGAGGTGCTCCCTGACCCCCCACTCCTGCTGTTTGCTCATGACACTGCCTCCCACTTCACCGGAAGCCTGGCTGAGGGCCTGCACCCTCCTGGCACAGCGTCTTGGCCGGCGGCATCTGCCACACGGCAGGCCCTTCCACGTGGAGCGGCAGGCACACTGGCGGGCACACAGGCAGGGCCTCTGTGTGACTTTGTCGAGACTGCGCCCCAGCGCTTGGCTTCTTACCTTTCTGGGCCTTACTCATTATGTAAAGTGATCTCTGGAATGTTTACTTATCTCACAGTTATGTGGAGGGTTTTGTTTTCTTAAGCCAAGACCCTCCACAGCTTCCTGTTAAACACTCGAGTAGCACTGAGAGTGGCAAAGGCCAATGTGTCTTCATTCTTTGTTGAGGCAACTGGGCATAAAATTCAAGAGGCCCAAATGGAAAAGGCCTTCTCTTTGAAAAACAGCAAATAAAGTAAAAGAGATAACCTAATATTTAATCAGCTGCAGCCTGTCTCTTTTATTTTCCTGCTTTTCGCTGCAGCGATAAGCTGGAGTTTACAACATAGCTCTGGCACACCGCCATACGCATCTTCTCAAACATTCCAGGGAGATTATTATGCTTATGCTGTGGCTTTTGCTTTGAGAACATCATCGTGCATTCCAAGGCTGTGAAAACCAGGGGTGGTGTATATAATGGAACCCCTCTGTAAGCCAGACTGATTCTACGGGCTTCCCAGCTTCCTGCGCCTGCCAGAGAAGAGTAGTATTAATACTTTGAAGATAAGAGAGTTCATTATTACTGGCCACGGTTCACTGTACCATTGCTCTCTTGTTTCTCTTTGGCTAAAGGCGACTTCTGTTGGGGGTCAGGAGGTCACCCACACTGACAGATCCAGGGCTCGGCGTTCGCCTGGCTCCTCATGTGTGTCTGTCTGGAGGCCGGGAAGGTGGCAGATGCCCTTCTTTCCTCGCTTCAGTGACCCTCCTTCTGGGGCTGGCTCCTCCAGCGTCCAGGGGCAACTGGAATAAAGCCTTGCCGCCCTGCTCTCTGCGTTTGAGAAGACTCACCAGTTTTCCTGTTGCCCTTCTGTGTAGCTCAGCCAACGCCACCCCTGAGTTTGAAGGCCGAGGCGGCGACGACCTTGGCACAGAGATCGCCAACACCCTCTACCGGATATTCCGCAACAAGGGCAGCGTGGACCTGGAGGCCCTCTGCATCAGCCCGCGGGAGCACTGCTGGGTCCTCTACGTGGACGTGCTGGTAGGTGCCGCGCCGCCGGGGGCTGCCTCCCTCCTCAGGCATTTTCCCTCTTCAAGCGGTACCTTCACCTTCCGGGGTGAGATCAGTTGGGAAAAGATCAGTCTCCTGTAACAGTTTTTATTTTTAAGTTAAGTGTAACATATGAATCGTAGCCTACATAGAATGCCATCCTACAATGAAGTTACAAGGAGCCCTGTCACATAGCACCTAAAATCACCCCCCGAGACTGTCAGGGAAGACAAAACAAGAGACGGTGGTGCCAGGCAGAGGCGGTGGTGGAATTTAGACAAGTTGGCACATTCTGCATGGAACGGTGATGCGGTAAAGTGACACAGAGACGTCAAGTAACTAGCCTGAGAGGTCTCAGCTTGGGAGTGGTGGTCTTAGTCCCCAAAGCCAGGCATTGGGCCAAAAAGTGCCAGGGCCTCTTCTTGCCCTCACTAAGCCGTCTTCCCTTGAAAACACCTGGTAGCCCACGGTTTCCTGGGTGGGGGCCTGGAGGCCCCGCCTCCTCCCTCCTGCAGAGTCTGCCCCTACAGGGGGCTCTCTGGTCCCGCCTCCACCCCCACCCCATTTCCTTCCTGGTATTTTCCCTCCCAAATTCTCGTCCCCCTGGTTTTAGGCACTTGGCTTGAACTTCTTTTACAGCTGTGAATAATTTTGCCAGTTGTATGTTCATGAACAGGCTCTTGTTGGGTCTGTTTTGTTCTTTTTTATTAAATTTTATGAACCTTGAGGTCAATGACTACGTCTTTCACTTCAGATGGAGGGCACAAGGTGAGCCATTGACCAGATTCTTTGACAAGCCTAAGGACAGAGCAGATCTTGGGGGCTGATAGTGAACTTCTTGAGGAGGAACAGCCTGGCTGTGTCTAAATGTTGGCCCTGCATGAAGCAGGGTAGGGCTTTCTGGATACTTTTAAAGTAATTCAATAATGGGTGGAACATAGCCAAAAGATAATCAATAGTGGTTACCATTGTCGAGCAGGTGAGGGCTGTTGTGAATGCTGGTGCTAATGGGTAAAAAATCACAAAAGTACAAGTCCGTTGGCTTTCCCGCGTCTGCACTAAGCGGGATGTGCCTAGCAGTGTGACTCCCACCACGCAGGCGGTCGCAGGCCCTGATCTCGGAGCGGCGGGACTGGCCGCGGGCACTCGACGCCTGCCTAGGACAGGGCAGCGCACAGCATGGATGCTGAGCCCCACCCTGTGTCTGAGGACACTGCGTCTGTCCTTCCCACACAAAACAGCCAGACACAAGTGGGAGCATCGCATTTGCCCCTCGGTGACCCCGCCTTGCCCCTGCTCAGATCTGTGAACTCGAGTGCTTTGGTAGGGGGTGGGCCCAGCGATGTCGCGTCCGGAAGCCTGTTCACTCAGTGAAGGCGTTTGCAAAACCAATGAGTGTAGCTCATCGTCTCAGCTCAGAGCCGCCGCCCTTCTGCCACGAGCAGGGACGTGTGCCGAGCGGCAGTGTCCCCGGGGTGCGCCCTCTCCCTTCGTCGGCCGGCCTTTTCTTTAAGACCCCTCCGGTTTAGATTCCTTCTCTAGCATATTTTTTAAGGTTTTATTTATTTTGGAAGAAGACATGAGCTTTTGAAGTGCTGTCATCATCAGGAAAGGTTTAATGAATTAGAAAAGCGGTTTTACATACCATTAATGCAATAGTATCAGTTTGCATCCCTCACATAACACACGTCAGTGGGGGCTTCCTCTGCCAGGAAGCAAATGACTGCTTTCTTTCCTGACGGGAATGTGCCTCATGAAGCACGTGAGGTGGGGGATAGGCTTTTTGGCGGGAAGTAGGTTTTTATCCTACATCTAAAAATACACCGAATACATTGAGTCCTTGTTTGAAGCCAGAGGGTGGAAACACAGTCCTGGCGTTGGCATTGACTCTCCTGTGATTCATTTGACCAGCCGGTCTGGGCGGTGCTCAGGCAGAGCCCATCTTTGAAACCGATATTCACTGGACACCCTTCCATGTCCTCAGACTTCTGCAGACACACTTACCTGAAACCTATCACAGTCAGGCTACCCACCCACTTCCAGTATTTTTGTTTCCCCCAGTCAGGTTATCTTACGAGGGTAGAAATTTAACTTCGTGGAAACTTCACTCTTTGCTTTTCCTAGTTCTTTAATGTCATTGGTTTTGATGCCAAGTGGGGTGGCTGTCAGGACCATGTCACTGACAGTGTGCAGGGCTGTCTCATTTGGGTCCCGGGCGGGGTGACGGGGACCAGGACAGGGCGTGTGGCACTGGGCGTGCGAAGGGAAGGGAGGGAGGCGTCCTCTCAGCCGCTGGTGCTGGCTGTGTGCAGAGCGGGGCGCCGCACCCTGCTGTCCGAGGGTAGGGAGGGCGGAGCGGGGAGCAGGGTTTTAGTGGGAGGCAGGTTTTCCGCATGGCAGGCTGCACGTCCTCGCAGTGGGTTTTGGGGGGTTACCTCGTGAAGGGTTCCTGGCCCTCGTTTCAGCATGCATGTCTGGCCTTGGCTCTCCCCCATCAACGAACAAGTCCGAAGCACCAGCAGGATCTGAGGGTTCAACTCAGTTCTGACACCATCCACCCCGAGACAGCTTCAGATTTTACAGGACAAGGGTGCGGACCACGAGGCTGTTACCGGTGCCTCTCACCTCCCGGCTGCACATCAGCGGTCCCCACGCCCTTCTCCTAGGGCTGATGTGCTAGAACAGCTCGCAGAACACAGAGGAGCATTTTACTTTCTAGATCACTGGTTTATTACAAGAGGATGTCGCTCGGGAACGGCCAGGCGGAGGGGACGCGAAGGGCAAGGCACGGGGGAGCACGTGGGCTCCTGTGTCCTCTGCGCATGCGCCACCCTCCCAGCACCTTCTGGACAGCTCCGAACCCTGGCCTTCAGGGTTCTTCTGGAGGCTGTGTTCCATGATTGGCCAGGTCGACTCGATCACTGGCCATTGATGATTGATTCATCCTCCAGCTCCTCTCCCCTCTCTGGATGTCAGGGAGTGGGACCAAAAGCTAGAACAGAACAACTTCATCCAGCACCTGGTTTGCAGACAGCAGAGCCTGGGGAACAGCAGAGTGTCCAGTGGCGGTTTTCTGCCCTGGCCGATCACCAGGACCATTTAGAGACGGGAGCAAAACACAGAGCCCAGGGCCTCGCCCTGAAGTTTTAATGGGCTCCCTGGTGATTCCGGTGCCTGGTCAGGGGTGCTCAGCCGGGGAGCGTGCCACACGCGTCCTCAGCCAGCCTGTGAGGACGACTGGAAAACAACAGGGCAAGTCAGTATTTAAACCCACTTAGCTCACACCTGTCATGTGCTACACACACTTCTAAGGGCCTTGCAAATGCTAACTCATTCAAGCCCTGTGAGGCGGCTGTGATTTTCACCCGCCACGAGACAGAGTGACGCAGTACCACCCAGGTCCTGCCACTCATGGGGAGACGGGGGTCAAGCACAGGCAGCCTGACTCGGGGATCTTGCTGCAGCTCCTTGCTGTGGGCAGTCACATCTGAACCAGAGTGGGGAAGAGTTAGTCCGGCTGCTAGATGACCAAGTGCCAGTCATAAAGCCAGGTGGTCATATAGGCCAGGGGATCATTTTAATGAGCAGTAATTACATGGGCTGTAGGAAAGGCAGGGTCCACATGTGAAGTTGGCTCAGAAAGCGTGAAAGTGGGAATTAGACTTGCCCTGGGCATGAGTGACGTGCATGAGCACGATGGGCCAGGCGCAGCCATGGGCCGTGTGTGGAAGCTGGGAGGCGCAGGCAAGGGCCTGCCTGTCTTCCGCAAATAATCGCCAGGCTCCTTCATGGCAGCCCGTCTGCTGGACAAACCCAACCAGGTCTGGCCTCAGGAGGTCACAGGTCTGATGAAAAGGAGACAGAGTCTAAGCAAAAACACGAAATACGCGACTTTTCTTTCCACCTGGGACTTCCTCTCCCTTCTTCTTTGATGTAGCCCAGTTGGTTTTATTCCATAAGCTCAAGCCAAGGCTCCAATTAAACGGGGACAAAAGGATGTGTCACCTTCCACTTAATAATGTGCCCTAAGCTTCCCTGCTGAATGACCGCAGATACGCAGTTGGCACTTCTGCTCATAGGCAAAAAATAGTATAAAAGACATTCATTTTTATCGTAGTAACTGTAAAGTGTGGAGTGCTGCCTGCTCAGCAGCAGGTGCGCGTGGGTGGTGCTACGCAGCAGGAAACTACACTTGCACACGAGAGCCTGGCAGAGCTGCGGCGTCTGCGGCCGCTGTTTCTACTTGCTCAGAAGCTGTGCGCACGTTAGCAAGGATGAGAGTCCCGCATGCGGTGCAACTGGGAGCTGTTTGGGGACAGTAAAGGTGATTGGTTCCTCCTTCAGTGCAGGCGCTTCTGGCTCTCGGAGACCCACCCGACAAAGGCCTAAGTGTCAGTACCACAGCCACAGCCACGTGTGGCCTCGCATGTGTGACCCTTGTGAACACAGCCATGACAAGGCAGTGCTTGCAGCGAGAGGTGGACACTGTCCGAGAGCCAGGAGCGCAGCCAGGAGTACTTGCCTGTGCTTTCTAGACACTTGGTCAGCATTTCTTGGGAACCAGTAGCCTTTGATTGGGATAAGACTTAAGCAAGACATGACGCTTGCCTGTTCTTCCCTGCTCACTCCCTGTCTCCCTTAGCTGCTGGAATGTGGAGGAAATCTGTTCGACACCATCTCCATTGCTGTAAAGGCCGCTCTCTTCAATACAAGGTGAGTCTTCCCGGAAGCAGCCCCACGGCCCGTGGCGAACTGCAGGGCCATGTAACGGAGCCGAGGCGATTTCTCCTGAGGTTCTAGGTGGAGATAGTGAGGGGCTTAGTGTTGAAAATGACAGTATTTACCGTGAGGCCCCAGAAAACAGAGATTTCATCAGTTAAAACTAAATCTGCATATATTTCTGTACTTATTTTTTATATTGTTATTTCCAAACATGTACCATGCAGACAAATATCAGAAAACTACAGAGAAGCAAAAAGAGTAGAAACCAACTGCAGGTCAGCTGTCCAAATACTGTTCCTGGTCAAAGCCCCATGGGGGCAGGGGACCTGCCTGTTCTGCACGCAGCTCTACCCCCAGCGCCATGGATGGTGCCCAGCACGAAGCAGGTGCCCACGCAGTGCTTGACTGGGCATGGGAATGTCCTAAGAGCAGGGTCGCAGCCCATTCTTCGGTGTAAGTTAGGAGCGGGACATGCTTTTTGCCTCTGAGGTTCAGCTTCCCAGACAGGCTGCAGCAAGGGACGAGGCACCAGCCTTTTCTGGAGTTGGCGTTTCCTCAGGCTATTTGCCTCACTCTGTGCAGCAGGTTCTTTGAGGAAAGTGTGCGGCATTCGAGAATAAACTTGTGGCCCTGGCAGGGTAGCTCAGCTGGTTAGAGCATCATCGCAGCACGCCACGGTTGCGGGTCCAGTCCCCAGTCAGGGTGCACACAGGAAGCGACCAGTGAAGGCATGAATAAGTGGAACAACACAGTGATGTCTCTCTCTCCCCCTCCCCCTCTAAAAGCAATAAAAGTTAAAAAAAGAAAAGAAAAGAAACAGGTGAGGTGTTCATTCCACAAGAGAGCTTACGTTACGGTCGTGGGGATCCTGGGGACTGGGAAATGGGGGGTGAAGCTGCCAGGGGCGCAGCCTGAGGAAATACCTGGGTAAGTGACCAAGGAGATGATCCCAGGAATGCTCATGGCAGCTTCGTAGTGGTAAGAAATTGGGGGCAACGCAGCGCCCCAGCATCGCGGGTTGAAAGCGACACAGCAGCAATTTTAGACATTTGTTCATATGGAAAACCAGCCACTAAATACAGTCTTCTTAGCCTGTTCTGTGTGTGTTTTGTTGTATTTTACTTTTGCTGATTCTTATATTTAATGTCTGGTGATAAGACACACATATATATATATCCCAAAACGGTCACAGTGACAATTTTCCAGTGCTCATATTATAGATGATGATTTTAACATTTATCAGTATTTTAGAGTTTTTCCCTGGTGAATTTGGACTGCTGCATAACTTAAAACACAACAAACAAAAACAAAAATAAATGTGGGTCAGAAGTTGCGCGTGGAATACTTGCCGAGAGTGACAGCTGCAGAGTCCTCACCCAGAGCCGGGCCATGGGACCCCTGGCCGAGACGGTCGGCGCCTGGCGCTGGCGGCTGCTGTGGGGCCCGTGTGCCAGATGCCGCCGCAGCAGCAGCCCGGGCCCGGCCGGCGCTATTGGAGAAGAAGGGACGTTGCCATCTGTTGCACCTCAGGCCTCAGAAATCACCCCCATCTGCCAGCCGGTTTCCGTGGGCACCAGGGCAGACAGAGCAGAACCTGCCGAGGCTGTTGGGCGAGCAGGTCCGGGGATGTCGGGCAGATGTGCAGCAGGACAATAGAGCCCAGCTGCCGGGGTTGGGGAGGGCGCCTTCACGGGCACAGCCGTAGACTCATCCTCAGAACAAGGGCAGCCCTGCAGGCAGCCAGGAACGGGGACTCTGCAAGGCCCTGGGGCCCCTGGCCGTGGGGGGGCCTTGTGTGCAGTGGGGTCCTTTCCAAGGGCAGAGGCAGGGCTCCAGATGGCGTGCTCTGGCCCTTCTATGAAGCGCGTTGCGGCCGGCGGGTTGGGAAGGTGCCTGTGTGCGTGCGTGCTCAGCGCTGGCGCTTATTTTTTAACAAACAAAACTTCAGACTGGCTCCCTGATCTGTTCAGACGAGATCTTGCTTAGTACTTACCCCCTGGGGGGCCCTGACACAGAGACTCAGCCAGGGCGGGCCCCTTGTGGACATTTTCTGGCTGCAGCTCACCTTCTCTGGTTGTTGGCTTGTGTAGGGAGGGGCAACGGGGCCGAATCATATGAGGGGGTCCCCCACAAAAACCCCAGAATTTATTTATAAAATATATTGTGTATTCTTACATGTGTAAACTTTGGTCATTTTCAGAGTCCTCTCCATTTGATGCGCTACACCTATCTAGATTTTTTTTTTTCCATTGCTCAAAACAGTCTTGGAAGTCGTTGATTTTGATGCCTTTTCGTGCTTCTGCTGTTTTTTTGTTTCACCTCTTCCACATCAGCAAAATATTTCCCTTTGAGGACTTTTTTCATTCAGGAAACAAAAAACGTCACTTGGAGTGAGATTGGGTGAATAGAGAGGGTGAGGCACGGGGGTCAAAAACTGCCGAACACCCAGTGTGGCGTGGACAGGGGCACAGATAAATCATCCATCGTGAAATGGGCAAACATGTTGAAAAGAGTCTTAAAAAAAAATTCACTAAAGCTGAACGCAGCCTCTCACAAAAACGCCAGCTGGTACGCTGATACAGATGGGTTCCTAGAACACTCACCTAGCAGGGGAAGCCTGTGCCATAAGGAGCCCACTTTCCAGAAGATAATTCCAGGTTTTTTGGGGGTCCCCCCCCCCCCCGTAGAGGGGTTTTGTTGGAGGAACAGGGGAAACCTCCAACGCTGTTTGCATTGCAGACACCTGTTCCTGGCTCCTCCGCCCTAGACTGGAATGAATTGACTTGACGGGTTAAGTGTATTTTCCAGCACCCAGCTGAAGAAACAGCATTGCCCGCCCCCAGGGTCCCTCCCAGCCTGTACTCCCATGCAGCCACTGGCCTCGCTGAGGATAGCCACAGCCCTAAAGCAATAGATTGGTTTTGTACTTGACGGAAGTGGAGTCACACACTGCTTCCTCTTCCGTGACTGCCTCATTCACCGAACACTAGGTTTTGAGACGCCTCCATTGTGCCCTGGAGTCATAGCCAGCTTTCCGTTGTGTGCTGTTCCGTGTGTGAATATGCCGCATTTTATTTATCCCGTCTGCCGTTGATGGGTATTGGAGTAGTCGCCAGTAGGGGGCTGTTCAGGTAATGCTGGACATCAGCATTTTTGCGCATGTCTTTTGTGCACATGTTTATGCATTTCCATTGGACAAGGGTGAGAATTCTGCATCAGAGGGTATGGCCGCGTTCAGTTTTAGATCCTGCAGAACAGTTTTCCAACGTGCTTTTATGAAATGACATTCACACCAGCAGTGTATAAGAGTGCATTTATGAATTGGTACCCACTGGGTTGCTCCACATCTTTGCCAACGGTTGGAATTTTCTTTTTTTTTTTTTTTTGTCTTTTTACTATTAGCTATTTTGGTGAGTGTGCCGTGGTATCACATTGCAGTTTTAATTTGCATTTCCCTGGTGAATATTTAAATTGAGTACCTCTCTGTGTGTTTATTAGATACATGAATATTCTCTTCTGTGAAGTCTCTGACCAAGTCTTCTGCCCATTTTTCAGTTGGGTTGTCTGGCTTTCTCTTACAGTTAGTAGGAAGTCTTTATGTTATACATCATTTTATACACATACAGGCAAATTTTTTTTTTCACTCTGGATGATCTTTCAGTTTCTAAATGATGCCTTTTGATGAATAGAGTTCATCATCTCAATATATAGTATATTGTATTACATTGCGTGTATGTACTTTAATTACAATATAATTGAATCTATCATTTTCCCCCCTTCGTGGTAAGCTCTATGTCCTGTTTATGAAATCTTTGTCTACTCCAAGGTCATGAAGATGATCTTAGTTTTTCTTCTGAAAGCTTTGTTGTTTTATCTTTTACCTTTACATCTGCAGTCCATTTGGTATGGATTTTTGTGTTTGGTGTGAGGTAGGGATCAAGATTCATTTTGGATATTGGATTGACCCAGCATTATTTTTATCTACTTATTTATTTGTTTATTTTTTATTATTATTTATCCTCATCCGAGAACATTTTTTCATTGCTTTTAAAGAGAGAGGAAGGGGAAGAGAGAAACATTGATGTGAGAGAGAAGCATCAGTTGGTTGCTTTCCATACTTGCCCAGACTGGGGATGGGCACCCAGACCAGGGGTTGTATGCGTCCGGATGGAGTGTTACCCACAGCCAGACCAAGGATCGAACCCATAACCTAGGCACGTGCCCTGACTAGGAATTGAACCTAAACCTTTCGTTTACTGGACAGTGCTCTAACCAACTGAGCCACACTGGCCAGGGCCCAAGTGTTATTTTTAATAGGACCTCCTTTGCTCCCCGCACTGCAGTGTTGCCTGTGTGTTTTGACGGGAAAGACGGAGTACTGGCCCAGCATGACAGTGACTCGCGAGACACAGGCACTCCAACCTCTGTTCCCAGTCTCAAGAAAAAGAACTTACCTTTCAGTAAGATGGAATTTTAATTGTGCTTTTGCTTCCAGGATACCAAGAGTTCGTGTTCTGGAGGATGAAGAGGGCTCAAAGGACATTGAACTGTCTGATGACCCTTATGACAGCATCCGGCTAAGTGTGGAAAATGTCCCCTGCATCGTCACCCTTTGCAAGGTATGAACTTGTATCTGACGGTTTTGTCTTCCTGGTGGGCCTCTTTCAACCCTAACCCATTGAGGTCCCTTGATGGGTTGAAAAGTTATCATTTCACAAACTGTGTAGAGGACTTCAACCTGAGTCCAATGGTTGGTCCTCTTAGAGGCCATTACCAGGAGGCGCTCTCTCTTTTCTTCATAATTGGGAGATGTGACGGGGTCCCGGGAGCACAGCGGGTCCATAGTCATAGTAGCCAGAGTTTGTTAAGCTCCTTCCACATCCCAGGCATTTCACCGGAACACCCTGTAGGCATACTTCCTTTCACTTCCTCAGCTCTGCGGGATCTAGGCTGGCCGCATAGTAATAAGGTGGTTGCAATGCCAAGACTGTCCCCTCTGTGGGCCCCACTGTCCACACCTACGAAATGAGGGGGTCGGAGTGGACCCCGGTGTCTAACAGGCCAAGTGTGGTTTTCACGTGAGCACAGCGGCCTGCGGATGCCGACGTGTAGCCGGCTCTGCCCAAGGCTGTGCAAACGCCTGTGCTGGTGGAGGTTGGCCCTGATGCCACACAGGATTCGTTATTTCAAAATCAGACTGAATGCGTCAGGTTTAATGCCGCAGAACTCACTTGGTTAACCTGGGGTATGCTGAAGTTTGGGACTGACCAAGGCCACCTGCTCTTGACTCGTTCTTGAGCATGTCTCTCAGCATGTGCTCTGTTGATCTCCTCTTCGTCAGCTGTGAGACGTCCATGTGGCTTCACAGATGAATTTCTCCTGGTGTCCCTCTGTTGGAGACTCTTGGTGGCCTCTGACTTGGCTGGTATCTGAGTGGTAATTCCAGCTCCCCCACCCTGGCGCGCTCTGTCACGCGGCTCACACAGTGGCCTGCAATACGTTGGCTGAACACTGTGTCAAATATTTCCCATGTGAGCAGAATCTAAAACTCTTGATCTTGAATGGGCCGCGCGGGTTCTTTACGGGTACAGATGTTCTCGCAGGGGGCTGTCAAGGGCGGGGACCCGGGAGCTGTCTCACCGCCTGCACGTGTGCTCTGCTCTCCCGACGGCAGATCGGCTGTCGGCACGTGGTGGACGCTACGCTCCAGGAGGAGGCCTGCTCCCTGGCCAGCTTGCTGGTGTCCGTGACCAGCAAGGGAGTCGTGACCTGTGTGAGGAAAGTGGGGAAGGGCAGCCTGGACCCGGAGAGTATCTTCGAGATGATGGAGGTGAGTCCCCGGTGCGGGGACTGGACCCTGGCGGGGGCGCCCACTGCCTCCTGCCCCCTCGGTCGGTCCCGCCACCGGGGTTCTCCTGTGCACGCCCTGGACGTAGAGTGGGAGCTTGGAGGGCGGCTGGGGTCAGCGGGAGGTCTGCCGACTCAGCCCGGGGTGGTGGCCGGGGCCTGGGGGGAAGGAACCTGCCCGCAGCAGTTTTATCCTCTCCCTCTCCGATCCCAAGTGCCTGCCCACCTTTCTGAATGACAGCGTGAACTGATGATAGGGAGAGGAGAGTCTCTTGTAACTTCAAAATCCCAAGTTTTTGTGGTTGGATGAGGGGGCTGACGTCAGCGAAGGCGGAGCCAGGGGCCGAAGGCTAGCCGTCCCCCCACAGCAGGCTTTCAGCGGAGATGAGGGGGTGGCGGGCGGCCCTCCGACAGCCTGCGGGTGCATGTTCCTGCGGCCCCTCCGCCCTCCCCACCCCCTGCTGTCTGCAGGGCTCCTCCCAGCTGCCCTGGGCTCCCTGGGGACGCGCCTGCCCTCCTCACCGGCCCAGCATCCCCTCTGTGGCAGGGGCCAGGTCCTGCTCCCCTGCGTCTTCCTAGACCTTCCTGGCTCCCGCCCCCGCCCCCGCCCCCTCGACTTCGCAGAGGTCTCTGAGGACTTTGACACTGACCGACTGACCGCCTGGCTGGCTGAACTGCCGGGAACACAGCTGGACTCAGGCGGGGTTTTTGTTGTTGAGTTGGTTTTTGTTTTTGTTTTTGTTCTTTTTTAGAGAAGGGGGGAAGGGAGGGAGAGAGGGAGAGAAACATTGATGTGTGACCAAAACTTCAGTCGGTTGCCTCACACACGTGCCCCAACAGGGAACCTGACCCGCAACCCAGGCATGTGCCCTGACCGGGAATCGAACTGGTGACCTTTCGGTTGGCAGGCTGGCGCTCAGTCCACGGGGCCACACCAGCCAGGGCCAGGTGATTTCTGTTTCCGATAAGCACTGTAACAGGTCACAACACTGGTCCGTAGGTCGTTGCTCCCCAGCAAGCACGGTGCCACCTGCACTCTTCCCCCGTCCCTGCAAACAGCGACTTCTCACTGAAGAGTCTGAGCCCTTGACGCCTTTCCTTTTTAATTGTCTCACTTGAAAGCAAAAGTGGGTGGTACATATGGGGTCAAGGACACCAAAGACCCTTATCCAGGTATTGATTTTGGTCTCATCTGAGCAGTTCTGCTTAGAGACCTGCTGGCAGGTGAGTCAGACACTGCTGGTTGGGACGCGCCCTCAGCGCCACTGTGCATCCTCAGACAGGCTCTGCCCACTCTGTGGACCCTCTGTGCCCTCCTGCCACCGTTCATGGCTGTGACCAAGTCCAGATTTGGTTGACAGTTTTGCTGCTGTTGTCCCAGCAGCAGGAATGCTGAGCGTGAGCTGAAGGCTGAGCTGCTTGGTGCCTGGGGGCCGGGGTGGCTGTCTTGTTTTGATTTATTTAGGACGAAGGTTTTTCCTTAATGTAACTGTTACACGGTTGGGGGTTGGAGTTTGTGTTTGTACTGATTTCTTGAACTAACTAAAGAAGGGGCCTGCGAGGCAGATGGAACGGGCAGGTACTGGCATGGCAGGCTGGCAGACAGGGAAGCCCCTCCTGGGGAGAGCGCGTGGGCCTCACGGTGCTGCCTTGCGCCCTCTCTGTCCTGCAGACCAGCAAGCGCGTGGGCAAGGTGCTGCACGCCTCCCTGCAGAGCGTCCTCCACAAGGAAGAGAGCCTGGGGCCCAAGCGACCGAAAGTCGGCTTCCTGGGCTGATTCGCATGCCGACCCTGGTCAACGGAGCGTTGGCCTTCACTTTTCCGTGGAAGCCGGTGTGTGTATATATTTTTCTTAGCTGTTACGAACTCAAAGCAACATTTGTACGTGTGAAATTAAAAGTCTATTTTCTGGTCTGGTTTGGCAAGGCTAAGGTTCTTTAGCTCTAAGCCAGGACGCCATCCGGGGGTGCCCCAAGGGCCAGGCCCTCGGCTCTGTGGGTGCAGAGACCTGCCCCCAGGCGGAGGATCTGGCCATGGGCCGTGCCAAGGAGACTCACCTGTTCCCGCTGCAGGAGGGAGTTCAAAACAACGCAAACACACTAGACTAAGGACCTGTGAGAAAAATGTTTCAAAGGAAATGCTTGTGATAGGTATTTTGTGAGTTTTTCCCTCCCCTGGAGAACTTTCAGCGTAAGAATCACACAAAAATTCATTTGCCTCGTGCCTTTGGGTGCATCTGTGGGGGAGATGGCGGGGGAGGGGAAGGCATCCTGTCCCGGGGCACAGCCGGGGCCCCTACCAGGCTGCTGAACCTTCCTGGGGAAGCCCGGCCCTTGTCTCCGTCCAAGACATCCAGGCCGAGCTCCCCCGGGGTGGGGGGCTGAGTGGCCGCTTTGGTCCTTAGCCAGCCTTTCTTGTCCCTCTTGTTTTGAAATTGCTTTGTGTTTTATAACCACTCCCTGGTGTTTTGTAAGATTTTCTTGCTTTGTCAGCATTAACACGGCTGCTTTAGAGATGTTGTCATTTGATTACTCAGCCTTCCTTCATACTCTGGGGACACAGGGAAGGCCATTCTCGATGGCCCCAGAAGGCTCTGCCCGAAGCCTGCATTCTACGCCGAGTGCAGTGTGTTGGAGTGGAGTCTATTCACAGATTGAGCAGTCCCTGTTTCTCTCCAGGGGATCTGCCCCCCACCCCCGCAAGCACATCTTAAAGGACCCGGGAGAAGGAGTGGCTTTGTGAAGGAGAGTGTTTTAGCCTTGGCATTTGCTCGCAGCATTTAGTTAGACAAAGAGGGTAAGGGGTTAGGAATTCATTGCCTCATGTGAAGAACACAGTGTGAGCTGAAGCGCTTGCAGACCGGCCCCAGGGGTCCTGGCATGGCCTCTCCTCCTGGCGTGGCCAGGTCCGGTCCTGCCGAGGGAAGCAACTGCCTAGACTTAGACTTGCAGCTGCTGCCCTGTGGAGAACAGAACCTGGGTTTTCATTCTTTCTTTCCTTCTTTTTTTTTCCCTTAGGTTTTATTTATTTATTTGCAGAGGGGAAGGGAGGGAGAAAGAGAGAGAAACATCAGTGTGTGGTTGCTTCTCACACGCCCCCTAGTGGGGACCTGGCCTACAACCCAGGCATGTGCCCTGACTGGGAATCGAACCCACAACCCTTTGGTTTGCAGGCCAGCGCGCAGTCTACTGAGCCACACCAACCAGGGCTGGGTTTTCATTATTTCTAAATGTTTTTCCAGTGATCACCTCTACACGTGCCCTGACAGGGCTCCTGATGAAGCAGAAACCAGCCTGTTCCTCCTTCCCTGCTCAGGGTTGACTGGGCGTGATAGAACATGGACAGGGGTCAGGAGAAACTAGAGTTTGAATAAAGTTTAGAAGCCTTCAGACTTGGTGATTAAAGACAACGGGCAAATGCGACAGGCAGGTGGGCGTGGCCAGGCCACTTGCAAGGCAGCTTCACGCTGGCTGAGCGATCACAGTGAAAACGAAGGAAGGAGGTTTACAGTTGTGAGTATGCGAAAGTTTGTTCTTGTGCTGTTGTTTATTAATTATTGTATTATTTATTTGTATTGCAATTGCAAGCCTCCTTTCGCCCAACCCCTATAAGTTAGCGTCTCTCTCTCCCACCCATACCTTGCCGTGAAAGCCACGCCTACCTGTGAGAAGGGCACACGACAGATGAAACCAAACCCCAACTGGGCAAAGTCTCTCTAGGAGACGCAGTTACTAGAAACTTCTGATTACTGCAGCCCTCAGAAGAGAGTATGAGAAGAGAAAAGTGAAGGTAAGGACTTGGAAAAGTATAGTGGCCGTGAAATAAACACCAGGGAGAAGAACATTGTAGTTGGCCAAAAGGCAAGAGCTTGGGGGTGTGGAGGGGGAGGGTAGGCGTGCAAAGAATGCAATGTTATGGAATGTTAAAATTCGTTTATTGTATTTGTGATTCCTTGGTCTCCCAAGCCATGTAAATCAAGCCTGTAAGACACATGAATTTCGACTATCAACAGTAGTTTACATATTGCTCACTAGGCGGTGGTCTCATAAACTGCCAACAGAGCATAAATCTATGCTGTTCCAAACTTTTCGGAAATAATCTGGCCGTGTGTGTGAAAGGCCTTGAAAATGTTCATTCCCTTTCACATAATATTCCCACTTCTGGGAATGTAACCAAAGCAAATAATTCAAGACACAGGGGAGTGTAAATGTGAAATATAATGAAGTTCATCCCAGTATTATTTCTACCCCCCCAAGACCGGCCATAGGTAAAGTGCCAGTCAGTGGGGAGGCGGTTCAGTAGAGCTGTAGGTGTCCGATGCCTCCAGTGGGCAGCCTCGGGCCAGCCACTGCGGCAGGGCAGGGCAAGCAGGGTCGGGTCACTTCCTGTCGGTAGTGTTGCTTCAGTGCTTCCCGTAGACCTGGGCGTCGAGGTGTGTGCAGCCCAGAAGCGCTGGAGACTTACCACCTCCAAGTCAGCCCACGACCACCAGGGGGCAGGAGCCCATGGGGAATGCTTCTCCATTTGACCCCTCCACCCCGGGGGGACAATTCTGAGAGGTATCCAATCCCCTCGTCCAACATGCAGGTTGGACCACACCTCAGTGCTCATGACTGTGACCCTCTCTTCCTCCCCTGCCCTCTCCTCCCCGCCCTTCCCTCCTGTTCCCTGTGGGACCACCTCCCAAATAAACTACAAACATGAGTCCTCATCGCTGGCTTGACTTTGGGGAGGAACCCAGACTCAGCAGCTGGTGCTACAAGTGGCCTTAGAGAGCTGACCCTCTAAATGGGGTTTGGGACCTGCATCAGTGATTGGCGGATGGCAGCCGAGGCCCGTGGCTGGTTGTAAGTGGATTGGTGATAAGCAAGGACATCTGATAGCATCGACATCACCTAGACTTGCCTGTGGTGGGCTGAGGTCAGGTGGAAGCTCTGCCACACCCAGTGTGCAGCCAATGGGCATTATAAAAATTGTTGAGCCCCCGCTGGTGTGGCTCAGTGGATTGAGCGCCGGCCTGCGAACCAAAGGGTCGCTGGTTCGATTCCTAGTCAAAGCACATGCCTGGGTTGTAGACCAAGTCCCCAGGAGGGGACATGCAAGAGAGAACCACACATTAATGTTTCTCTCTCTCCCTTTCTCCCTTCTTTCCACTCTCTCTCTGAAAATAAATAAAGTCCTAAAAAAGAATTGTTGAGTTGGCTGGCTTGCAGTGTGCTCTGAGGACCCGAAGCCTCCGGGGCTCAGTGTAAAGAGGCTGCCGTGCAGCCGCTGAGCAGAACACGCGGCACCCAGACCGGAGATTCGCGTCTGTGGGAGCCGTGCAGAAGCACGGGAGACCGAACATGCCATGTGGCAGGTATCCTTTGCCAAAGTCAGGGCTTCCATCAGGAAGGAAGGCCTCGGGCCTGGGGTAAAGACAGGGTCTCGGTCCCCAGCTTCCTCTGAAGGCCTTGGGCAGGCCAAGGAAGCCCCCACCGCTGGCAGAAGGAGAGCAGCCATCTCCCAGCAGCAGCGCTGTACTGCCCGCCACGCCAAGGCCGTCCTGAGCCAGACGCCTTGGAGATGATGCCTGTTCGCCTCGGCCCCCTTCCCTCACAGCCTCCAGGCCAGTGACTAGGGTCCAACTAGGCCCAGCCTGAGCAGGAGCCACAGTCCCTGCTGTGGGAAGAACTAGACTATTCATCACAACAATCGCAAGACCTGACTTGGCATGTGCCGGGGGTGGGGGAGGGTGCAGCGGCCCCTGAGGGGGTCAGGTCAGCGCCATGGCTGGAAAGGGGCGAACGTCCTGGCAAAGAGGCCTGACGTTGCTCCTAATTCACCGCTGCGTCCCTCCCGAAGCCTGGGCCTGGCGGTCACCTGGAGTCGAGAAGCAGGGGCTGCCAGAATAAAGGGGAAAGGCAACAGCTCTCCTAAGGTCTGCAAGAGAAGCGAGGTCACAGGACGAAGCTCTGCTCCCCCAGTGGGAGAGCCCGGCAGGCAAGTTCAGAGACTGCCGCCCTGCGGGGCAGAAGCAGAAGTGCAGGGAAACCCCTCTGCGGGCACCAGGCTGGGGAGGGAGGCCAGAGCTGCAGCTGGCGAGGGGCTGGAGGCTCGGGCTGCTTGGCTCTGACGCTGAAATTCTCCTGGTCCTTCATTTCCGAGAGCTCGACCCGGTTCCCACCGTGAATTTGGGAGAAAACATCCCTTGTGTAGTGGAGGAGGAGGGACCAAGGGACCATTTGGAAATATGGCAGGGCTCTCTGTTCTTTTTAACAAGGCCTGCTCTCAGGAGAAGCTTGAGCCAGGTCCTCGCCTGCTGGGGTTTTATCAGAAGCTAACCGACCTGGAGGAAGGGAAACACCCAGCTCCTACGCCCCCCCTCCTGTCCCATCTATGACGGGGGTGCACATTGGCCTGAGGACCACGGGAAGTGCACAGGCCAGGGGCACAGGCTCACCGAGACAGCTCATCCCCAGACCGCAGAGTGCGAGCAGAGTGGACACTCGCTGAGTGAAGGACCGGGCGCCAGGCCAGCCAGGTTCTGAAAGGAACGAACGGCTTTCCTAAGGGTCGTCGAGGCCAGGGTTACAGGCCCTTTGTCTTTGGTTTTGAGTAAGGGCCGAGGCTGCCCTTGGAGATGCCCCCACCCCCATGCTGTCACCTTTGAGGACAGCGCAGAATGGCCCCGGCCCCGCCTCCCCAGGCACGGCCCATTTCTGCTGACCAGGCACCAGTGGGGCTGAAAGGGAACATCTGTGCGGGGTGAGCGTAGGGGCAGCGAGGGGCGGGGCACTGGGCCGGGAGTTCTCGTGCTGTCTGGGTCGACATGGGTGGGGTGGCCGGAGCCTGGCTTATGTAACTCAGACTCCCAACAGTTTGGAGGGGGGAAAAAACATCAAAACAGCAACAACACAAAGAAACTTGAAAATTGAAATGTGCCCTTGAGAGCTCTTCTGATTTCTCTGCCTCTGGGAAGTTGGTTTAAAAAGGCGGGGTCCTGGGGCGGTGCATTAGTGCAGGGACATTTCCTTGAGGGTGGGTTACTGGTGAGCAGTAGCCCAGGGTCACCCTCCGGGCTGAAGCTGCCCGCTCTTGCTGCCCTCCGGGCTGGCAGAAGCCTCCGGGACGGGGCCAGCACGGGAGGTCTCTCATGCAGGGAGGATGCACTCTAGACTCCGCCAGTGGCCGCAGTGTGGTGCGCACACTGGCCAGGGGGAGCCACGGGTGGACGGGGGCACCTGGGTATTTAATGACCATAAGATCAACTCTGGCGACAAGGAGGCGTGGTGGCTACAAACAGCCCTTGCACCTGGGGCTTTCTGACTAGAGTGTCCGGTCTGACCCCAGGCAGGCCCCCTGGGGGCATGTTTTGCTCTGGGAGCTGCACCCCGGCAATGAGCAAAAGTCTATCCAAAGGCAATTTTCCAGAAGGTCAAAAAAGTGGGAACCACATGGTAGAGGAACCGTTGGGAGAAAAGGGGGACAGAAACACGGAGAAGAGACAATCAGAAAAGGTGGCCTGTTTTGAATATTCGCTGGCCTTCCACATTACTGCTCCTGAGGCCAGGCCCCGTCCAAGCCGGGGACCATGGGGGAGGTTTCCTCAGCCTGCTGGCCTCCCCCCGGGGGCTTTCTAACAAGCTGAGCTTCTCCTGGCAGAACCAGCGGCTTTGCAGTCACAAGCTGATTGTTCCAGAAAAGATTTAAGCAAGCGCACCAAGATAGGTGATAGGATTGATGAGAAGTGACTTCCTACACTGAGGGTGGTTTTACCAGAGGACCTCTTCCAACCTGCCCTTTTTTTTTTTTTTTTTAAGAGGGGAGAAGGGAGGGAGAAAAACATCAATTGATTGTCTCTCACACACCCCCAGTCAGGGACCTGGCCCGCAACCCAGGCCTGTGCCCCAACTGGGAATCAAACTGGCAACCCTTTGGTTCCCAGGCTGGCACTCAGTCCACTGAGCCACCCCAGCCAGGGCCCACCAACCTGCTTTTAACTCAGAAATCCAGAGACAGCGGGTCACTGGAGCAATTAAAAAATGACAGGCCAAATCAGGGTCACCAAAAATGGCGATCTATTTTAAATGCTTACATTTAACGAAATGGAACTTCTGGCACACAAATATGATGGAGGCGTCCTTTTAAAGTGTCGTTCTGAGGGCACTACGGGCACGGGTGGCGGGTACCAGTGCTCAGCGTGTGGCGCTCGTCTCCCCTCAGGGCGGTCGGCGCAGCTCCCAGCCTGTGCAGACCCCTCTTGGAGGCCAGGCCAGGCTGAAGCTTGAGGAGCTTCAAGCCAAAAGACACCTGCTCTGCTGTGATTTGACATGCCATTTGACAGCACAGGCGACCTCCAGGTGCTTGTGGAGGCGCTCTGTGTAGCCCATGCACACGCCTGCAAAACCTGCAGGAGGGAAAAAGCCAAAGACAGGCTCCCTGCCGATGGAAAGCTCTCTAAGCAAGGCCCCTTCCTGAAGAGCCGAGAGTTCACCCGCCAGGCTCCCTAGGAAAGGGTGAGATGTGCTCCCACCTCGCTTGGGGCTCAAGTCAGGCAGATGCTGATGTCTCCACAACCTCTCTGGGCCCCCAGTCCAGCTCAGCCACATGGCTCTCCCCTCTCCGCCCCTGCTTCGTTCTCCATCTGTAAAAATAGCCCATTCCTCCCTAGACTTTCACTATGTTTGCTTATTTGTATCTGCGTCTACTCATCGTTCCCTATTCTATTATTACTATCACTATTTTGATGTTCAAATTGTCCCTGATTTTGGCCTGGGGACCAAACTCCAAGCTGGCTCTGTGTCACACCGGCACATCCCCCTCCTTCCTTAAGCACTCCCCTGCTTTCTGGCAAAACGGCTTGTTCCAGGCTCATGGTCTGCTTCCCCTGTGCAGCTCTGGAACCAGCCACCTCTCCACGCTGTACTTAGAAGCCGGTACTTGGCTGCCAGGCGTGCTCGGGGCTTTGAGGGGTTGATGGCCCAAAGCCCTCCCTGTGACCACTGGGAACAGGGGTGCGCATTTCCATCTAAACTCCCAGATGCCTTTTTCTGACTTGAGGTCCGCCGCGGCACACGGGGCGCTCCGGTTTCAGTCCTGTCCATTGGGACTCCTAGCGTCCTCTGACCATATCTGGGCTGCCCTTCTCTGACCACCAGAAACCTGGCGTCCACCGTCTTCAGAAGGTTTACTTACACGCTGGGGGCCCCATATGCACCCAGTCTCCCCTCTGGTCACGTGATTAAAGTAATGCCTGCCAGGTTTTTCCACTGTAGGGTTCCTCTTTCTCTTCGTAATGAATAAGCATTTTGTAGGCATGTGATTTGAGACTGAGATTATGCCGTTCGTTCCTTTCTTCCTTGCCGGGCTCAGACATTCCATGCAGGGCTCCCCGCGGATGCCCCCTCCACCCTGCTGGGCCCTGGCACCCACACTGGTCTCCCTTCCAGGGACATTCTTTTCTCCCTGCACCATCTCTGACAGCTCTGGGGCACCGTGACTTCTCCCTGTCCCCGTGTGTTCACGTCTCCTTCAGGACAGCGTGGTTGAGGAGTAGAAGGTAAAGAAAAGGGAGGACTCGCTTGTATTTTTCACCAAAGATGCATCAAGTGCACACGGACAGAAATACAAAATCAGTGTAACAAACTTTCTGACCAGGAGGCCAGCCCCAACGCGCGTAACAGTTCAGGAGCTGCCGGGCTCCCAACATCTGGGCAGCTTGGGCAAGTCCTTCAACAGCGCCGAGCCTCAGCTTCCTCCACTGTAAAATGGGGGGACAACAGGACTCCCCTCCAGTTGCTGGTGGAGGGAGGCCCCTCTGAGCTAATGCCAGGGAACGGAGTGGCTCGGCACCCGCCCGAGGTGTGAGCTCTGAGGACTCTCTAGCATCTCTCAGAATCCTAGGAAATCCGGACTGTGTCAGAAGGCAGGGGCGATGCCGGGTGGGCGTGCCCTGGGAGGCCAGGCTCTGTGCTCCGGCCGTCCTTCCCCCTTCGCAGGCTTTTTGTTCTGTTTTGTTTGGGCCCGCCCGCGGCCAAGTCTGGGAGGGTTTCCTGGACAGAGGTCCTCGTGGCAGCTGCTGGAGACGTGCAGCCCTGGTCGCGGCGGCCGCTGCTCTCTGACCAGCGCCGCGCAGGCAGCAGCATGGAGCTCTGGGGGGCCTACCTGCTCCTCTGCCTCTTCTCCCTCCTGCCCCAGGTCACTGCCGAGCCACCGTCCCCCCAGGTCAAGAAGTCTGCCAATGTCAAGAAAGGTAAGGAGGGGGACGGGCCCCTCTCTGTCCTCCAGGGAGCTGCTCGCCCTCTTTCTCTGGCCTCTGGCTCATGCCCCTTCTGGCTGAGTCCCGGGGACTGGTGAAGTACCCCCAGGCCTGGGAGAATTCTCCGACAGAAGGGGCCGTTTGTTGGCAGAACTGTCGGGATTGCTGACTCTCGCCACTGGAAAGAACCTTCCAGATTGTCACAACTGCCATCTGCTCCTCTCCCTCTGGCCCCCTCAGTGTTGTAAAGGAATCGAACCTCTTGCTTGGCAGTCTGGAGGTGCTCACCCCTCATTGGAGAGAGCCCGTGGGCTCTGCTTTGAAATCTCTGAACCTCAGGTTTCTCAACTGTAAAGTGGGGATCGTGGCCTTCGCGCCAAGCATTGTGAGGATTTAGTGATACAAAATATGTAAAAGGCTTGGCACACGGGATGTACTTGATGCACAGGGTGGAAGGGATCGGTGGGAATATGTTAATTCCTGCTTGGTTCTATCGTGCACAGCAGCCCCGAGGAAGCCCAAATGTTCAAACTCAAACTAGGATGCTGGAAGCAGCTTTGTTCTCCCTCTGTCGCCTCTGGGGCTTGGGGTGTCCTTGGGAGGCCTTGGCTGCAGCAAGGCCTGCCCTTGGAGCCCTGCCTGCAGTGAAGTCACCCCGAGCTGTGTTGAGACAACATCAGCTCAATGCCATGGCAATGGAGCGGGCGTCCCCCCGCTGGGCTCGGGGGCTCGGAGAAGGTCCAGGCGGCAGCGCACGCGGCCAGGGCTGCCACACAGAAGGCACAGCGCAGGCAAAGGGGGCCCTCTCTGAGCCTCCTCTGTCAGTGGACAGTCGCCATTGGCCACGGACTAGTGAAGTACGAAAGGTGGCCCAGGACCAGGGAGACCCGCGGGGCGGCGACAGGGAACGGGCAGAGCTGATGGGAAATCATCTCCGAGGTTCGGTTTATAAAGTGAACAAAGAAAAGTTCAAAACAGAACGGATATTAGGCTGACATGTGTTTTGAAAAGATTTATGTGAAAATACATGCTTGCATACACGCATACCGTTTCTCTGGAGGGATTAACAAGGGTAACAGTGATTACCCCTGGGAAGAAAAACTGGGTCAGCCAGAAGCGAGGCATGCGGGGAGGGCTCAGGCAGCTGGAACTCCAGGGCCACGTGGCCACACCTGGCCAAGGAGCCCGGGCGATAGGGTGGCCTCAAAGGGCGACACAGGCCTTGAGAACAGAGACTGGGGGACCCGGATGACATCCATTTCGATCACACACATCAGCAATCTGAGCCTTTGAGTTGGAGAGGGGGCAGGGCAAAGGCCTCCTGACCCTGCCCAGAGCTGTAGACATGTCCCCTCCTCCCACACTTTGCTCCTAGGCCCATCCCCAGACGGTGTCTTGCACACACAGGCACCTCGGTGCGAGTGACAAAGGTGCCCCTCTGAACGGACAGCTTACAGAAAGGCACCTCTCTCTGTGGTCTGATCCAGCACAGCCGAGGGCAAGGCTTAGGCCTGGACACGCGCCCCGCTCGTCCCCTCAGCCGAGTGCCCTTGTGCTGGGCCCAGCTTGAGCCACCTCACATGGCCCCCTGTGTGGGCGCATCAGGTGACTGGGTGCCGAGCTGGTGTGGCCCAGCTGCGGCTGAGGCCCGGGGTGAGGCGCACGGAACCCCGCCGGGCCACCTTCCCAGCCCCAAACCCTCCTTTTTCAGCCTTGCTCACCTGCGTGTCATTTTCCTCATATTTAATAAGTTGCATCACTAATTTTTGTAAACACAAGTAGGCTTTTGCTTGCATTCGTTTTCTGCGATTCCCCTGCGAAGCCATCTTACAGGTGGACAGAGGCTCCGACCTCACCCCCACACCCGCGGACTTCATGCAGGCACAGCCAGCTGGGCCACGGGAGCCCTTCCTCGCCCTCCGCCCCCTGCCGAGCACAGCCTTTTCGGAAGTCCCTGGGAGTTCAGAAAGTCGGGTCTACCCACAGCGCTCTCCACTGACACACATGTAGAGAGAGGCCTCCTGCGTAACTGGCTCCCGGCCTCAGGCCAGCAGGGCCTGGCGCTCACATTAGGAGTCTGTATGCGGTCGGGGGGCGGGGCGGGGATAGAGGGGGCGGGGGGGGGGGAGATCCAGCTGGGAGCCCTGTGGCCCAGGGTTCAGACCAACCTGGCCAGCTGCTGGCTCTGCGGCCTTAGGAGAGCTGCTTCTGTCTGGCCGCAGTTTCCTGCCTGTGAACCTGTGAAGTGGTGGCATAGAAACATTACCCAGGTCACAGGGCTGATGGCAAGGCCAGCCCTGTTCATGTGCTTTGTATCTCTTAGTCTCTAGTCTTCTGCAGAGGCCTCGGAGGTGGGGCCACCCCCTTCCCAGATGCGGAAACTGAACTCAGGTTGAGCAGCTCGCTCCAGGGCACGCACATCCAGACGACCTCAGAGCCCGTGCGCACACTTTCACGTGCCACCACACGGGGTCCCAAACTGGAGCCCCTGCTTTGTTGGTCTGTGTTTTGTTCCTTGAGCTGGGGGAGGGGTCTCCAGGGCCCCCAGTCCTGCTTCCCGTGCTCCATTCTCTTCTGGAGCTGGGAGATGGTTGGACGGTTAGGGGTCACGGGAGACTCTGCCTGCACCCCCAGCCCAGCCCCTGCCAGCGCCAGGGCCAGCGCCACATGATCCGCAGCAGCCTCCCCGAGCAAATGCAGCACAGGTCTCACCACAGCAGGAGCGGGGGACCGGTCTCCCTGGCAGAAGGGAAATCCTGAGCAGCTACTTACACTACCCCAGCAGGGACAGAGAGAGACAAAGCATACCAAGAGGTCAAGGTTGAGGAGAATCGATTCCCCTTGTCCTTTGTGGTTGCGGGGTAGGGTCCCCCCCGCTACCCAGCCCCTGCCCTGCCCCAGGTCCTATTGCCCCCCTCACATGTTTGTGATCACCCGAGTCCTTGACTTCATCCTAGATGTCGTGAGCCCGAAGATGTTTGAGGAACTCAAGAGCCAGCTGGACAGCCTGGCCCAGGAGGTGGCCCTGCTGAAGGAGCAGCAAGCCCTGCAGACGGGTGAGTGCAGGCGGCCGCCTCTCTGGGCCGCAGGCGTCAGAGGGAAGGGCTCAGGCAGGCAGCCAGAACGCGCTGCGGGCTGCGGCCAGCACCAGGGCCCGGCTGGCTCCGTTAGACCAGGGCACCCAGTTCAGGGGGCCCCAGCTCAGCCTGATTCCTCTTGGGAAGACCCCCCTGACGTGGGGGAATGGGACTGTCCCAAAGGACAAACGCTCTCCCACAAGAGTCCACTGTCACCCGCGCTCAGCCAGGCCCTGCCGCCCTCGGGGCCACGTCAGCCTCACCCCCGTGTGTCAGAGGCTTCGCTGGCGCCGTCACTCCTACTCCTCACAACTAGGCCCGGGCAGGGTTTATCGTCCCCATTTTAAAGATGGGGGAACTGAGGCACGGAGAGGCCCCAGTCCTTGCCTGCCCTCACCCCCTGTCTGGTTAGTACAGCTTAGGACCTGAATGGGAAGCGGCCTGCCCGGTGGGTGCCGGGTGCGAGGAGAGCTGGGCGTTGGTCTCCCTGGCCCTGCACTAGGCAGCCAGGCAGGGGTGGGCCAAACGGCGCAGCTGCGGAGCCGGGGGTCACCATCACAGCCGCCTGCCCCGGCCCTGCCCAGGCAGCCCTCCTGGGCAGCTGTTCCCTCTCTGTCTTCACTGTGTTCCTCTCATATCGTCCCCATGTTCCGCACATCTCGGCCTCACCTAGCCCTTTGTGACTTTGCTCTGGAGGACACACAGAACGTAAACTAACAGTAACAGGTAACACGACGTGAGCTTAGACGTGCCTGGCCCTGCTCTGAGTACCTCGTGTACGTGACTCCTCTTCACAGAAAACCCATGCGGTGGGCTCATTGCTATAACCCCGCCTCCACTTTCTACCCTGAAACTGAGTCTTGCCAGCAGCCAAGATGAGCAGAGCCTGGCTCTTAGCCCTGTAGGCTGCCTCCCAAATGGTCATCTGGGAGTCACCCTGGCTCTTCCTTAGGAAATCTACAAACCTCCCTGCGCCCACAGCCACGCTCTCACCTGCTGTGTCTTGTATCAACGTACATTCACGTCTGAGCCTTGGGCCCTCCCTTCCCCCGCCCCCTCCGCCTCCTCAGAAACCTCCAAGATCCTTTCCCATGGGCGATTTTCACACACCCCCTCCCTCTTTTCTTTCAACATCCACATTGCCATCCTTCCATCCCTCTGACATGCCACACTCTGTCCCTCCACCACAGGCCCTTTGCACATGCTTCCCTGGCCGCCTGAACTGTTCCCCCAAGATCCACATAATAAATACCTGCAGCATCACCATCTCAAAGTCTCTAATCCCTCTTCTCAGTCAGGCTCCTCAGTTACAAGCTCTCACAGAAGAACATAAAGGAAAGAACGTCCTTTATCTCACCTATTGCCATTTGTAACGTGATATTCATTTGTTGGTTTACAACCTCAGTATATGAGGAACCCCAGAAACACGGGGGCCATGTTTGCTTCCAGTTGCCCTTGTCTCTCCCACAAGCCTGCCCAGCATAGTGTCTGCCACTCAGGAAATCTTTGCTGAAGGGAGGAAGGACAAACACGTGACTCTGGACAACTCTCATAACCTGGCAGGTGGAGAAAAGGGGCTCTAGAAAGGAGGTGTCTACCACATTTTGGCCTCACATTATAGAAAACCGAGCTGTAGTTTAAACAAAAAGTGAATCCGGAGGTAGAGAGCCGCTCTTGCTCAGAAGCTGCACTGCGTGGCCCCAGGAGAGCCGGCCCAACGCCAGGCACCGTGAGTGCACTGAAGGCAGGAAGGAGCGCGGAAGGGGACCGGCTGCTTCTGTCCCATTTATCAGGAAGGCAAGGCCTTCCCCTTCCAGCTGCTCAGAGCTCTGTCACATGACCACCTGTAGCTCCAACGCAAGGAGCTTTGGCAGCGGAGACAGACAAGTCGTGGGGAGTGAAATAAAGGGATGTTGGCTGGGTCCACCACAGGGTCTGAATGAGCACAGTGCCACTCTGGCCTCAGCGCCCCATCTGTACAGTGGAAGGGGTGGGGAGAGATTTGCAGGACACGCTCTAAGGCCCCTCTCATGTCTAAGCTTTGTGCTTGTGCAAAGTGCATGTAACCCAGATGCCACTTTCCCCCTGAGGTGCGGGGACCTGGTGGGGACCTCCCTGCACCCAACCCCTCCCTCTTCTCTGCTCGTTCCCAGGGGGTTCACGGTCTCCTGGCCTCCCTGGGGACCTCCTCCCACTCACCCTCCTCTCCTTCGCTACCCCGACCTGTGGATCCCCTCGTCTGTAACCTATCCAAGGCATACCCCAGCTCCCCTCACCTGGCCGAAGAGTTGAGGGGCAAGGGAGCAATCCCCTCCGGCCGTCGGCCCCTTATCTCCCCCCGACGGCTGCCACACGTGAGGTCCCAGCCCAGGACGCATTCGCCTGGACCCCTAAAGGATGTGTAGGAAGATGAAGAGGGACTGCAAGCAGAGGGCCCGGCAGGAGCCAGAGGGCCGGCGAGAATCCAGGGGTCATGAACAGGGCACAGCAACAGAGTGTTAGTGATAAGGTGCTGGGAGCCGTGTTCACAGGGGACCAACCCTGTGACGCAGGGAGTGTTGCCCGGGGCGGGGGGGGGGGGCGGTTTCCCAGGCAGCAGCCCTGAGGTCAAGTTTTGCCTGCAGGCGGTTTATTTGGGGGTACTGTTAGGATCCGCTCGGGGGGAAGAGAGGGGACAGAAGGGAGCAGGAGTGGGCAGAGAGAGCAGCTCAGTGGCACTTGGTCTCAGGGAAAGCCGCGGCCAACAGCAGAGGCAGCCCGGACGACAGGCAGACCCTGCAGGGCTCTCCTGAGTGGGGCTCACTTGGTGGAGGCTGGGTGCCCACTGCCCCGGGAGGGGCATGGCCTCGGGCCAGGCGGCTGTGCTCTGCCCAGGCGGTTCCCAAGGGGGCTGCGAGCTGAGGGCTGTCTTCTCACTGCACTGGTAGCATCCGTCGTCTCCAAAGAGGGTCCAGGCAGCATGTCACAATGTCCCCAGCAGGAAGGAAAGGCCGTGTGGGGCCGGGCTGGGGAGGACAATGAAGGGCAGTTTGCACAAGCTGCGGTACAGCAGGAGGTGGAATGGCTGACTCGGGGCGCGGCCCGTGAGCAACGTCAGCTCGGTGACAGGCTTCAGGCCTCGAGTGCAGAGCTCCAGGGGGGCCAGCTGCCCGTGGGGACACGCAGGCATCTGTGGAGTAAGTGGAGTGGGAGTAGCTGTGTGAGCCGGGGAATGGCGTGGGGTGGAGTACAGACCCACCCCTCACATTTTCGGTGCCAGCAGCAGGCAGACGGTCGCATAGCCTCATCTGTCTAAAAATGAGTAAGAACCAAGGTGCAAACCCAACGGCTAAGTAAAAACGCAGTCTAGCCTCCTTGTTCTGAAAGGAAGGGCTTGTCCTGCCTTGGCACCCCTGCATCCCACAGGAAAGCCTCCACCCGAGGGAGGGCGTGACCTCAGGGTTCGGGGGTGGGGTTTCGGCAGCTGAGAGGCTGACCTCACGCCAGCAGGGGGAGCGCCAGGACCCGTTCAGTGCATGCGCTCGGGCCTGGGTCAGGGGACTGTCCAGGGCCCGTGGGATGGTCGAGGAGGAAGGGAGGTCGGTGGGCCCGCCCTGGCGGCTGGCTCTTTGGCTTGGGGGCCCGGAGACCTTCGTGACGGCCCTTTGTCCCCCTCGCAGTCTGCCTGAAGGGCACCAAGGTGCACCTGAAGTGTTTCCTGGCCTTCAACCAGGCGAAGACCTTCCACGAGGCGAGCGAGGACTGCATCTCGCGCGGAGGCACGCTGGGCACCCCCCAGACGGGCTCGGAGAACGACGCGCTGTACGAGTACCTGCGCCAGAGCCTGGGCGGCGAGGCCGAGATCTGGCTGGGCCTCAACGACATGGCGGCCGAGGGCGCCTGGGTGGACATGACCGGCGGCCCCATCGCCTACAAGAACTGGGAGACGGAGATCACGCCGCAGCCCGACGGCGGCAAGGCCGAGAACTGCGCCGCGCTGTCGGGCACGGGCAACGGCAAGTGGTTCGATAAGCGCTGCCGCGACAAGCTGCCCTACATCTGTCAGTTCGCCATCGTGTAGCCGGTGGGGGGGGTCTGGGGCGGGGCCATGGGGATGGGCGGGGCCGGGGGAGGGGCCGGCGGACCTTCCAGCCCCGCACCCTTGCAAAAAGCCCCCTCCGCTGCTGGGAGCCTCCTTTTGCAAATAAAGTTGGAGCAGCTTTTGGGGAGTGGCTGCGTCTGTGCGGGGGGTCTCAGGGCTCAGGGCGGGGACAGGGCGTGGGAGGCGTCTGGACACACCGCGGAGTGGAGGGCCCTGGGGAGCAAGACTTCTTTGTATAACTTATATTTTTCATATCATTTCCTACCTACAGGAAAGGTGCAAGAATTCCTGTATACCCTCCAATGACATTCTCCAAGCGTTAACATTTTCCCGTATTCGCTTTAACCTTTTTGATACATGATAGCAGGTGGGCTGGGGGAGGCGGCACGCTTCGGGCCAGATAATTTGCTTGGCATTATCACAGAAAGCGTCTCATGGAATTCCACAATTCTAGAAAGAGGTAATAAAATCCATTATAGGTGCAGAAACGCAGGTTCAAAAGGGTGACGTGATTTGTTTAAGGTGAAGCGAGCCAGAGGCAAAGCTGAGGCTCGAATCTAGGCCTTGCAGCTGTCTTGGGCTTTTTTTACCCCACTCCTCCATCTAGCAGGAAGTAGGTGGCCAGAGGATTTTCAAAGTCCCTGAAGGGGGTGGCTGCCGGCAAGAGGGCACCAGGCCTCTGTGCCCGAGCGTGGGGGCCGGTGGAGATGCGCCCTGGGGGCTGCGGCGGGCCAGGCAGCGGTTATTACTCCCTTCCAGCAGCAGGTGGCAGTATGGGCAAGAGAATCGTTACTCACCTTTAATTGGCCAACAATGTGCTTCCCATATGTGGGACCCTGAGACCTGCGGACTTCAGGCGAGGGTACACCTGTCCTGGGATTTTTATTTTAAATTTTGACATTGTGTTCATCATGGGTTCTTTTGCATTAATTTTGATTTTTAAAAATATTCAAGCATTGTTCATCGTGATTATTGAGTTTTGGGGGCACTTCTTTAAATTCTGTGCCTCAGTTGAGTGTGTCACCCATTTCACTAGTCCTGGCCCTGGCTCAGAGGTACAAAATTTGGAGAATTTTCCAGGGTGTACATGAACAACGGTAAGGAACAGTTTCTAGATCTTCAACCTCTGTGTTGCTCTACCAGTCGGGACAGCGGAGGTCTTTCACAACCTCCCTTCCCCTCTCTGCCGTGGTGTTGCCTGGCCGAGCAAAGGGACGATTTGGAATATTGCGGTAGGTGTTGAAGAAGCAAAAGACAGGGTGAAAGCTCCCTTTGCCGGGTTTCCAATACAGAGCACTTTTAACCTGTACCCGAGGAGTTCAAGTACAAGTGACATCGCTCTTTTCAATGCCACCAACTTATTTCCCTGATCAACGTTTCTCAGCATTTACAACTCTAAAAGTGAAACATTGAATTGGTATTGATGCTGAACCCTGCCTCATTCTTTGACGCATGCACCAATTAAAGAGGAAAAAAAAATCCATGTTTATAAAAATATACATTCTATCTGCGATGTTTTGCTCCACTGTGTGCTAACAGTAAATGGGATGAGAGAATGCTAGCAAAACCGGTTTGAAGGGCACTGGCCCATGCCCTTTCTCTGAGAACACGCATTGAACGGCAGTGACTCGGCACAGAGAGAACAGCTGGGCGGGAGGAGGCGATCTCTGTAAAGGGTCTTTCTCGCTCAGCCAGCGCTTGCCCCTTACTGATGCCCTGCGCTCGGCCCCAGGCCGACGGAGCTCTCCTCCTTGCCTTATCACCGCGGCTGCTCCTGCTCCTGCTGCTCGTCCTCCTTTCGCACCTGGCCATTCCTCCAGCCTTCCTCAGCCTGGTCACCCAGCCACAGGAGGAAGGGTGGGTGGAGACTCCGGGACGGAGAGGAGGCGCCCTGGGAGACCGGGGGCTGCCCTTGGTGGTACTTGCTGTGGGATCCTGGATAAGGCCTGTGGGGCATCTCGGCCTCCAGTTTGTTTACCTGCAAAATGAGGTTTAGAGTGGATGCTACCATAGCTTGAATGTCAGAACGAATAAAGTGAGCGTGGGTTACCGGGGACGAGAGAGTGTGAGAAAGAGGGGCTTTTTTAGCCCAGTTATATTATCTCAGGCTTGGGAGGGACCCAAGCCATTTCAAAATGCCATTTCAAAATGCCATTTCAAAATAACCAATCAACTTCTCAAGCTTTTGCGGGCTTCCAATGGGCTCGCCTCCTAACCAATCCATTCTTTCCCCAGGCTAGACTGACAGGCCTCTATGGCGCCATCTTGGCTTCCACTGCGCATGTGCATATCTTCCTCTTTGTTTTTCTATCCCTTCCCCCCAGTGGTCTCTGTGAAACAGACCCACGGGCCCCTGGGGAGTGTGTGAAGGTGTAACTTCCTGGCGAAGCAAGCAGGCTTATGCTCCCTCCCTGATTATGCTTAATACTGTCTGATTCTCTTTGCCCCCTTTATTAATATCTAGCTACCTACACGAACAGGCAGAGGATAATTTTTCAAAGAACATCCTTTGATGGGGCTGAAATTCCACCACAGGTCTGTTGAGTTCCAAAGCCCACGTACCATCTGTTCTGTACATTAATCCTTGAATCTTGAAGAAAGTTTTCAGGTGTTTCATGACAGGAGTGTGAGAGATTTGTAAAAAAGAGTTGACAGTGATGTGTATTGGTGTGCGTTTGTGGTTGGTAATAGGGGATCCTGCGACATCACATTTTTCCTTCCAGATGTTCTAGAGCTATTTCTGAAGCTTAATGTTAGGTTCTACATCACCTCCTTGTCATGGGTGACTCACTCCTGAGCGTGGTTAATGACTCTTTCTTTCAAGCTAAAGGTAATGGCACAACCCACAAAACAACTAACCATTTTCTCCAGCACTGGTATTTCATGCGACGTGAGAGCAAGGCCGGAGAGAAACCTCTCAAAGGTCAGTGACATCTTGAGATGAAAGACCTGAGGCTTAGGGAGGTGAAGTGACCAGTGAGGGGAAACAGAGTTTGCCAAAATAGGCCTCATGGGAATATCAAATCTTGTAAGCTGATTATTTTTATGAAACAAGGACCCGGGAAGAAACTCGACCTTCTCCATTACCCGCTTAAAGGACTTCATGTACAAAAACCTGCTTAAAGGAAGGGAGCATCACCTTAGTATCATAGTGTCCCTGAGTGCGGCAGACAGGGAAGAATCTAAAAAGACTCCCTTGGATGCCCCATTTGTTTACCAGATGTTTGCTCTTCCTCATCTCCCTGTGAACTATCTGCCTTCTCTTTGGAGTCCCAGACCCTGCCTCCCTCTCCTTAGTCCATAATTTTATATAAGCCTCAACTACCCCTGGGCGGTTGTCCTGGGGCGCAATATTCTTAGGGAACTCGCATACATACATATCTAATACATTTGCTTATTTTCTCCTGTTAATCTGTCTCATATTAATTTATTAGGCCAGCCAGGAGAGCTTAGAAGGGTATGAAAATGTCAGGGTGGGGAGGGAAGGGATCTGGGGCATTCATTAGCGCTTCCTATATCTATGAACGGTCTCTGTTAGGAAATGGCTCTACGGAGTTGTCTTGTTCAGGGGCCGTTTCAGGGGCAAGCCTCTCCGTCTAGGAGGCCCAGTGACAGATGGAATGCTTGCTCTCTCTGATGGCTCTCAGGCTAAGAGCTCCTGCTATCGATATGCTAATTAACTACTGCAATCCTGCAAGAGGCTGGAGTTTTTGCCAGAGCAACCGGTTGTCAGAAGGCCGCCTTTGAAGAGGTGGAGGAATACACACTCTTTATCAAAGGCTCCCAGGAGTCCCCACAAATGGTCTCAGATCAGTGTGAGCCAAGGAACGGACTGGGAACAAAGGGATTTAGAATGTTCTCGATTTTCCTTGGATCTTTCTTGGAACCTAGCTATCTCCTGTCTTCAGACCACACTCTCCTCCCTTCCCTTGACTTGAAAGAGGCCTAAATGGTGGGCTCTCTTCTGGTGGAATTGAGGGTTTTGTTCTCCCATCTCCTCCGTTGGTGCCTTCCCGATCAGTAAACCGTTCCTTACTGGCCTCTGGCACATTGAATATTGACCTTTCTTTTGAAGCATCGTGCACATGAACCTTGCACCTGTAACAATCCCAGTCCCTGGGGGTCTCCCCACTAAGCCCAGTAAGCCCCTTTAAGTGACCCATGCTGCCACCTCCTTGCAAGAGGACAGAGAAGACCAGTGGGACAGTTTTTCACTCGCAGCCCTGCTGATGTCTTGGGCAGGACAGTTCTTTGCTATGGGGGCTCTTCTATGCATTAAGATGTTTAGTAGCACCCCAGCCTCTACCCACTTGCTAGATGTCAGATGTGACAGCTGAAATGTCTGCAGACATTACCAAATACCCCTGGGGGGCCACATCGGCCCCCACCTACCCCCTGTTGAGAAGTTGAGAAGAAGTTAGGGCCAGGGTACCTGCAAAGCCAGAACAGGAAGGAACCATGAAGAAAGTAGCTGAGGCAGACTTTATTAGTTTGATGTTTTTCAAATTCCAAATTTGCCACTTCATATGACATATAAAGAAACCATATTTATTTCCCAAGCCGAAAATTCAGGACACGTGACTGAACAAAGTTGGGTTTTTTAATCTCCTCAATGAAACAGTATATTTGCCAGCAGTAAGCAATTTCCATTACATTTGTATATAGGATATTCCCTCCTTTCTTTCTGTTTTATCCTTCACAGGCATTTCCCTTAATAAAGACTCTCATGTGTTTAATTCCCCCTTGGCCTCTGCTTCTAGGAAATCTTGAGTTCATTCGAGGACTCAAAACAGGCCATATAGCAACTGAACAAACATGGCCGTGGAGGAAGGGGCTCAGGTGCTCTCAAAACCTGCTGCAAGGAGCAGAGTTGACTGACAGCTCGACTGCCCCCCTCACCCCCCCACCCCCACCCCTCGCCGGACACAGGACCAGTCTTTCCCTGCCTGTGTCTGGGCAGCGACTGAGCAAGGCAAGGG